TTAAAATTCATCAATTTCTATTGAATATTTATAAAAGATTTCTCGAAAATAATAGAACTCTTTATTGAAATGATCAAAAAAGGAATAACTTTTATATAAAATGAAAAAATAGAATAAACTTTTCAGAAAATCAAGAATAGATTTATAAGAGAATCTATTCTTTACAATTATTATAATAATCAAGAAAACATTATCGAAACAAACGTTTTTAATATTTGTATAACAAAAATCCATTTATAAAAAAATGATAATAGGAAATTACACTTTATCATTTATTATTCAAATAAAATAAATAAAATAAAACAAAATTATAATATTTATAAAAAGGAATTTATAATTATTATAAAAATATTAAAATATTGAAGGATCTACCTTCAAAAAACTAAATTTCTAATAATCATCTATATTAATTATATAAATCTTTGAATCTTTATTATTATTAAGATTTTAGATAATTATAAATTAATTAAATAGATTAAAGAATTAACAAGGTTCGATTTGATAATCAAATATATCAAAGAAAAAAACAATATAAAAACAAATATTTTAAATAGATTATCAAATTACAAAAATGATAAAATCTATTAAAAAACAACAATCTTGAAATCCTTATTAAATGGAAATCTTATTCTTAATCTAACAAAAATCATTATTATAGAAAATAAACCAATAAAGATCTGAAAAAATAAACTTATAAAAATATAACAAAATAAGAAAGATATCAAATAATTAGAATTACCAATAATTGTTGAAAGATTATTTTAAATAAAAAACAAAATATGATTATCGAATAGTATTATCTTTGAATATATTACAAAACAATATATATTGTTAATTTATAAATATTAAGAAATGTAAAGAATATATCTAAAAATCAAAAGATAATATTAAAGTTTGGGATTTTGTAATATGATTAATAAAATAGTTACTAAATATAATATTTGTATTAAAAATAAAGCTTTTTGTTATATTCTTTATAAATAGATAAATATTATCGAAATATTATTTATATTATGGAAATCAATATTATAGGATTTCATAAATCCATTATCAAAATCCAAAAATCCAATAATAAAAATGATATACAATTATCTTCTTATTATAATAAATAAACTAATGAAGTATTTAATATTTGTATTATATTAAATAATATTAACTATAGAAATACTAATCTTTATATTCTTAAAAAAGATTATAATAATATATAGATTATCAAAGGAAATACTCTTTAATAAAAATAAACTTTTTATTTTGAAATTTTAGATTGTTTTAATAATATTATTAGAAATAAAAAGGAAAATATCTATAATATTCTATTTACAAATTAATAAAGGAAATAAAAGAATAAATCAAATTATCGAAGTTTATTTCTGATACTATATAAATTATCAATAAAACAATTGAATAGAACTTTTATTTTTAATATAATTTATATATAATAGTTTAGTATCGAAAGTAATACAAATTACTTTGAATTATATTAATTATAAATATGAACTGATTATATATTACAAATTAGGAATTATAAAAATAAAGAACTAATTTGTAATAATATAAACAAAAAGATTCAAAGAAATCTATAAAAAAATAACAATAGAATTGAAATTTGTTATCAAACGAAATATATATTATTATAATCAAAAACATAATTAGAAATCAATATTAAAGAAGAAAAATAAAATCTATTTACTTTAAAAAAACATCGAAACAAAAAGATCTAATACAAAATTGGATTATAAAAAACTTAGATTATTCAAAATCAAGAAAATTAAAAAATCTTTGAATTATGAATTGATATTATTAAAAAGTATGAATATATATTTAATATTCTATATATTTTTATTCGAATTAGTATTCCTAGAAGTATTTAAAGTTTCTAAAATAGAAATTATATCTATAAACTAAGATATCAAATATAAAATGAAGAAAATATTAAATTGTAAATATATTAAAAGCAAGATCAAGTATTTAATGAAATAAGAAGATTATCTCGATTCTGAAAATATATAAAAATTTGAAAAAAAAATTAAATATTTGAAGAAGTTTCAGGAGTTTTATTAACAAAATCTAGATTTATTTAAAAGAAAAAAGAATTCATTGTTTTCTATAAAAAGAAATCGAAAGAATCGAATTCGTTTATAAAAATTTCGTTGAAGTTAATAAGGTTAATTGATAATTGATCAAATCGATTAAAGATTAATTAATCAAATTAATCAAATTGATCAAAAGATAACGAAAGGATTACAAAAATTTCTTTATTCTTTTCTTTTCATTTTTTTTCTTCGAGAATATCAAGTTTATCAAGATATTTAAATCTACAATATAATATTTCATTATATCGTTTTTTAAATTATATTTTCTATTTAATAAAACAAATAATCTTAATAGAAAACTCAACGATTTCAGTATCCAACTTATCGATCTATCGATCAAAACTCTCTTAATTATATTCTTAAAGAATTTCATAATCCCAATTATCTTCTAAACGAAACTTAGTATTATATGAAATAGAATTTTGTATATATTTCGAATAATATAAATGATATTTATTAAAGAGATCTTTACTATAATAATGATTCTTTTATCGATAATAAAAACAAGAAATTATTTCAATACTAATAGAATTGATAATCATAATTAAATATACATATTCCTTTTTCTTTTTTCGAATTAAACTATTAAAGAAATCAGAATTGTTTATAATAAAAAAAGAAAGATAAATAGAATATAAAAAAAGAAAAAAAATACTAATTATTAAATAAAATTTGAAGAGTTATAAATAATTGAAACAATATTTAATTAAAAAAGAGATAATATTATAATTTACAATTAAGATAAGAATATATTGAAAAACAACAATCAATATATCTATATAAATTTAAGCTTTATCAAAAAACAAAACGATTTATATACAAATTTATATAATAATTGTTTTATATAGTTTTTTTACCTTTAATAAACTTAAATATATAATCTAATCCTAATTATATAATAAAGAGTTTTGGAAGTTTCGAAAACTTTTAAAACTTTAAAACTTTTGAAGTTTTAAAGCTTCTTTATATTCATTAATATATAATCAGAATAGTTTCATAATTTAAAAACTTTATATTTAATTTAGTTATCAATTAATTTATCTATATTCCAATTGATCTAATAATATATTCATTTTCGAATAAATAATTAATGATTATTATTCTTAACCTACAATTACTAACCATATAAAAACCTGAGATAGCCGCTGCCTCGACCAGATCGTTACACTATAACTGAAGAACTATAACTCATAAGGGGCATCTATATATATATATACAAAATATCTATATAGTAATTGTATAGTTATATACAATCTACCTTAAGGTAACTATATGTAACGATCTGGTCGAGGCAGCGGCTGCCTCAGGTTTTCGTATAGTTGGTAGTTGTAGGTTAAGACTAATAATCATTGATTATCTACTCGAAGATGAATATATTATTAGATCAATTGGAATATAGATAAACTAATTGATAATTAAATTGAATACAAAGTTTTTAAATTATAAAACTATTTTGATTATATATTAATAAATATAAAGGAGTTTTATAGAGCTTTAAAACTCCAAAAAGCTTTTGGAGTTTTAAGAGCTTTCGAAGCTCCCAGAGCTCCTTATCACATGATTAGAATCAGATTATATATCCGAGCTTGCTAAAGGTAAAAAGACCACATAAGGCGATTACCATACAAATTTGTATACGAATCGCCTTGCTTTTCGATAAAGCCTAAGCTCATATGGATACGTTGACTGTTGCCCCTCAATATATCCTTATCTTAATCGTAAATCGTGACACTATAATGCTATACTAAAAAGAGTAAATTTAGAAAAATGTGCACAGACTATCAGCTCACCGATAGGAATTGTCGATGAATTGAAATCATGTGATCGTCCTTTATACAAGGTCCGTGACAATTAATAATTATATAATAAATCTATAATTAAAATTTCAATTGATTTTATTTATTAATTACTGAATTATTAATAGTTGAAAATAATAATTTTTGATATAAAAAGATAGTCTACAATAAGAATGGTCCAAAAAGAGGGTATTAAACTTATTGAAAGTCTTGTTCACAATCTATTACAGAATACTTATAAAACTAAGATACAAGATTTAACTACCCTTGATTGTCCACATCATCCAAGCTGTATGTATGTCGATATCAGTTCCGTTGTCGAAGTAAAATACAGAGTTTAACTGTACTCGATTGTCCACACCATCCAAGCTGTCTATACGTCGATATAACCGATGGGTCATCAATGGCTGGCAAGTGATTCTGCTTGAGAACAATACCATACTCTGCAACGTAGCTACTGTCGGAATGATTGACGACCCCTTGCCTCCCGGCCCCCAAAACAAGAGGATAAATAGTGGATGCGACCTTACTGTTCTGAGAGGTTCTGTGATACCACATACTGTGCGAGAGACTGGATCACAATGGGCGAAAATTACAGTGAGTTTTTAGTGATAATTTATCCTCCTCGCGGAATAATTCCAGCCAGTCCAGGCACATGAGAGCTTCTATCATATCTGAATACAAGCTAATTTTCTTGCAGCTGCGAGACTGTAACGGTACATAGATGAAGGAGCTGTGATTTGGGAACCATGAGATGTGGGAAACGGCTCAAGTTCAACTCTATTCACCTTGCCGTCCTTATAGTGCAGGCGTGGGACCGCATCCGTATTTAGTGCTGAAGGATAAATGGAGGAGTTGAGTGCTATCATTGATATCACTCTGAATGGTGAAATGAATAGACCATTCGCTGCCTGCTGTACGTGTAAAAATGGATGAAATTGTACAAGACGCAATTTGCATACGCGAGTAGACTCCGTAGTTCTGTTATGTACTTCTTGGTCACTAGGTTGAAGTTCCTCCACTAAGTATATATACATTGAATCACTTAATCATATATTTTATCATACATTAAACCAGAAAAGAATTCACAGAAATAAATCCATTCGATCTATGAGCTTCCGCTCTTCCAAAAGTTTGGAGGCGTATTATTTGATTACTTGTCAACGATAGCAACACGTTGGCTTCGATCTACTATACTTTGATAACGCAATTGCCACTCTGATATGGCGACGAAAATTTATAGAAAGTTGTCGCTCTTCCTGTATCCTAGCATGCAGCAATCAATAGACATCGTTGTACCGGCTCACTCAAGAAACCAAGCCTGATATAGACGCTATAGCTAGTGATACGATTCCCAGTCCGACGAATCAATCTTCCCAAAAACCTCCTCAACTGCTGTAGCATAAGGTGAACCCTCAGGACACCAGATAAAACGCTCGATTTGTGGAAATTCCTTGTAGGAAGCAGTTTGGTTGACATAGCGATAGCAAGAATTGTACTTTTTGGCCCATTGCTCCAGCTTTTCCCAGCTGCGGCACATTCTCACTTGGCCCATACCTGAAACTGGAATATTATCTGATGTTGAATAACGCGGTGTGTCATCAGCGTTACAGAGAGCTTCTTGTCGTAATTGATCCACACAGTGAATTACGTGCTCCCATCGTCGTGATTGTGGTCTTTCTTGCCAGAACTCCATGAGGGAGATGTATACTGCGCGCTAAACGAAATTATTAGTAATGCAGCGAAGACGTGGGCCAGAATTGAAAACTTACCACGCAATGCAATGTATGATGTCCATTGAGTAAGTAAACGCTCTTACTCTTATCCCAAACGAATCTTTGAGACGGATGAAGATTTTTGTCTGAAACAAAGTCGTCTGGAACAGCTATCATTCCTGCATCAATGTTGATAGCTTCCCATACTTCATTCCGAAGAGTCTCATTTGAGTCGGTGTATGGACTGTCCTTTCCCAATGCAATTGGATAATCCCGAGCAAGTCCCGCTAGTAATCATCAGAGAAGAGTACAAACTTATTAGGGCTATCGTAGAATCTTACCATACTGACTCAAGCCATCATTGACTACGATCTGATTTCCACTAGAATGCCATGAGGAGAGAAACCAAGTAAATATATTCGAGGCGATGAAAAAGAAAACGAATGGATACATGAAATATCTTTTATGGCTGCAATGTGTCGACTCGGATGCTAATCCACGCTTTTCCGGTTCCGAATCGATATCGGAACCTTGGAGCTTCTCGTATTTAGAGTGGCTTGCCATTCTAGTATGCTATCTCAGGATTCTTGGAACGATTATTGTCAATATCAAGGTTTTAGTTTTAGTTCGAGAGCTCCAAAGAATCCAGGCGGAAATTTGAGAGAATGGAATTACAACGCACCTAATGAAACATTAAAAGAAGTTAGAGGAAGAGCTTATCTTCGTCGATGTGCAACGGGATGCACATGACCAGACTTTCGACCATTCAACGTAAGGTCTGAAGCTACTGCTTTGACTTTTAACATACATGCGCTTGATTGAGCAGTGTAGCATCAAAATTCCTCAAGGTAGGCAAGTGCAGGCTCACATGCAGCTAGGATGTATTTTGATTCATTCATTCGCATTGTTTGGGCGACTTTTGACAGACTTCCCTAAGTGGAAGAATTTCATGATGAGTGGTTTATTTTCAACTTTTAGTCAAGGCTCGCGTTGCTACATTCACTAGACCCCAAATGAAACTGGGGAGTGATTGGATACAGTTAAGTGAACGAGGCATCGTGCTTGATAGCATAGCACAGAGTTCCAATTGCGGTGTTGAGAAACCCATCTTAAATTTAAAACACAGAGAGAGTGTACATTGCAGAGTGTATCCACTTCTACACTACGAAAACCACCCCTCCACTGCACTAATTCTGATAAGCCGATGTTTTGAAGACTGGTGATGATAAAAACCACGCCACCAAATCGTGAGAAGTGGAGAAAGACAACCTAGTAAGCTAATTAGCATAAATGATGGAACGGTATTTTCGCCTTTGCTTACATTTCGGATATGACTACTCGATTGAGCAGTTGGAGCACCCTTCAAAGGCAGCTCCCATGGTGGGAACTACAATGTTGTGGGCCTTAGCATAATCGAGAAGACGATCCCGCTCTGAGAAAATTATTAGTCTTCTGCGACATTTGTCTGACATAGCGACGTACTCTCTATCATGTTGGGAACCGGCAGAGCATTTACACAAGCAGCTAGGAAAATGCTTCCCGTAAGGAATTGAATTATGTGCCGCATGCTGAGTTGGAAATTTACAAGAGTTGTAAAAGCTGTGAGGATTGGAATGCAGATTTCAATCCTGTATGATGCTTGAGTTATATAACATTCATCCGTGCATTCTCCTCCGGAGATCCCTGCTTCTATCCAATGCAGAACATGAAGCGATGTTGTTCAAGAATTCCGGTCTGCTTACTGTGAGTAACACATAGATACTTTTACTATCTTGAGCTGTTTAAAGTTTTCAGCAAGGGTAATCGATTGGTGATCATCATGTCGAGCCTGTGTAGGTATCGACTGGCAAACCTGCCTCATCGAGCTAATAATCTCTGCACTTTTGAAATAGACCGAGTAGCTGAAGGACAATGCAGCGCATACATGGTATATGCAGCATATCTCAAGCTCGTGCGAAGGCTCTCCTTTACCCCGAACCTTCCTCTTCTCACAATGCAATTGTTCTCAGCCTAAGGGCGTCGGTTTTCGTACCCTTCTAGAATCAGTCAGACGTGTCAATTGAACAACCCCAGTCTCTTTTGAGAACCACTCGCATTCACACACAAGCCCAGACCCGAATCATATCCCATCCTTAGAAGGGAATTGCCGGCTTCAAGCGAGGTAGCGGTACAGTCTTACGCACACAAATGTAATTGATGGCACTATGATTCCAAACCAACTCTGCGTTTCGCCAATTGCGAGCGAGCATGCTGTGGATGGCTGACACGGGGGCATATCTGTGGCACAATGTTGATCGTACCCGCCGTCGAAAGACAAATGCCATTCGGGACTGAATTGGTGGCAATGCTTCGATGCTTCGTAAGACGTGGGGTGGACTTTGGTTGCTGTGAAAGAAATAGCCAGTGAGCATGCGCCGGATAAAAAGAAGTTGTATTGTTCAACCTGTTGGTGATAGTAATATTATCTTTGATTTGCTTACGACTTACGCCGAGTTGCATCGGCCAAAGTACCTAAAGGTGTTGAATTGTGGAGAATGCACTTCTGCAATGCAACCTGTTTGAGGGGATGGATGATGGAGATATAAGATATAATGGACCTCTTCCTTATCTCCGGTCGTTTCGGCCAAGAGATTTCCAAAGATACAATAAGGTTACCTGTCTATCAGTTTGTTGGTAAGGTTGATGGAAGCTGCAGATGCACAATGCCCACATATAAGCCCACATGTAAGTGGAGAGATGGAGTACGGAGCAGCAATAAAGCAAGACGTACCTATTTAAAGATAATGCATAATACCCCCAACACCCTCCTTGCCACCAGCATGTGAGAACCTGGCGCATCCTTTCTTTGTGTTCCCTGTGTGTGTTGTTTGTCAGATTGACTTACCGTCGAATGGATTGTAAGCGCCGTATCAGGGAGCCAATGAAATGCATGTGTCATAATGTTACTTGATCTGCTGGGTGATAAAGTTGCAGATGCACGCAAAATCACTTGGAGTTGCATTTCCGAGTGTGGCTGCTTATGCTGAGGTAGGATTCTTCAATGCACACATATAAGCTTGTTGAGAGGAATGGCCATGCAGACGAAAAAGTGGTGGGAAGAGATAGCCGGATTAGCCAGGGCCTTATTCGCGTAAAACGATCTTTCCATTCCGGATACTTTAGCCCCTCCGGCCTCCACTTAAAAGCGCTTGGCTTATCACTGTAATAATGCGCCCGTGCACAGTCCAGCGGCGATTGGCGTGGATAGAGAGATTGAGTGGTCTCACCAGGATACCATTCTGTCGGGTCAACCTCTCCGGCGAGTAAAGCTTGCGTGTGAACGACATGCACAGGATGCACAGGATGCACAGGATGCACAGCATGCACAGAATATTAATGCATTGATGCTTCTTGCTTGGAATCCGCAGTGTTTGTTACCTCCAAATCAAGAAAATACCTCGGGGTCGATGAATGCTGACAGCACTTATACACCCCACCTGGAGCTGGAAGGATATGGCCCCATTGCCCCGCCAGCCGGCACTCCACAAGGATCCCGTGATTGGGCCAAACCACGAAAGCCGAACTGTTGACTTGTTGTCGAATGCTCCTTCGTACCTACTCAAGTAACCCAAATTACCTACCAACAATAAGATTCTCTTCAGCTACAATGTGGAGTATCCTTCCCATCTTCCTTTACCAATATTTGCAAATTTTCTACTATCATGTCTGAGGGAGTTGGCCTTCTCTCGACATCAGCGGAATTTCAACTTGACGATGCGGAGTGTCTCCAAGAGAAAGAATTTGAGCTTCGAGGCGTAAAGAGCTCTAAGCCTAGGATTTCTTTCGCATTGTGGCTCCTGTATCTCATCATACTACTTCTATCTTTGACCACCAATCTCGTTCAATTTCGGCTGTGGTCTCAAGCACATCGAGCTGCTAGTGTATGCAAGCTTCCATTAGGTACTGGCATTTTCAATATGCTTACATCGCTTTAAAATGCTAATCTGAAATTATTTAGCTGGATTAGAACCTAATATCGAGGTTGATTTTGGGGAAAAGACCGCCTACGGTGATCTGTCTGACCTGGCTGCTTTGGATAAGCTATGGTTATCCATTGACACCAATCCTGGAGTGGTGGCCCTTCCTTTTGACTACCATCTCGGCAGTACCGATGCTTTTCCATGGGACAACACGAAAGGACTATACGTGATGAATAGTTTCCACAGTATGCACTGCCTGGTACGTACGATCATTTTATATGAAGGGAAATAAAAAGGCATGCTGATAAATATCAATAGCAAGCACTCTATGGGTACGTGCGAAATTGCGATTCGGGTGCGAACCAAACACAAACATTGGAACATGCTGTTCACTGCCTCGACGTCTTGCGATCAGAAGTTATGTGCACAGCAGACGATACGCCCCTCTCATTTCGATTTCAGGAGGTGGTCCAGGCTGAACGAGCGCCAAAAAGAAAATGTAGGGACTGGAACAAGTTGGTCGAGTACACAACGGCACATTCTGCCTGCTTTCGTCGTTATTCACCCAATGATCCAAGGTATAGTACTCTTGACGAGTACCTATTCTGCCCACCTGATTCTCCGTATAAGGCATTGGTTGAAGATTTTCTTGCGCAGGACTTTGATTAAAAATATGTATGCGGCGGAGGACCTGGATTGTCATGAATATAAGGTGTGGTATACAGCATCAGTGTGATCACGAGTTCAATGTACCTTGCAGAATACATTATAGCTTCGACCCTAATTACATTTAAGAGTCTCCATGATTGAACATGATATCTCTTGCTCTATTTTGTGATATATACTACAGTGAGTTAACAGATTATTAGAACTTTGTATCAATAAATTAGAATTGTTATAGCTTGTGATCATCCAGACCGTGCTTCGACCACGCTCGCTTTGAATTGTTTCTCAATTCATATCAACACCTGAAAATAATTCTAATAAACTCAGACTCACAATACATGCAGGAAAGAGGCATGGCAGAATTCATCGTATTTCTAGTGTGCATAACATCATTAAGAACGCAGTTTTCACAACAAAGCGCACTGGACAGGGAATAAGTTCGTTCAGTGACAGGTCAGTAAGAGCGAGATACAATATTGCTAAATTGTCTTGTGCCCAAATTTGCCCTGATAATAGGTGATTTCACTCTGTGCGTCGGGCGACAAATTCAATGAGTGACACACCAGGTTCCATCCAAGCCCCATCTTGAGCACCAAACGACATCTCCTCGAATGTTCGAATCCATGCCTGGGTTTCCCACTTTGTGCCTGTCTCTTTTCCCACTTGATCCCATAACTTTGCAAAAGATTCAGGATTGTGTCGGTACATGGGAACAACCAATGACTTCAGAGTAACCTCTTGAGCCTTGGGATTTCCAATTTGGTTACCCACAATCATTGATCCCGGTCCCTTGGTAAAACCAGTAAGCTGTTTGCAACAATTGACCTGTCCATCCCAGTCCCATTGATGAATCACTTGTGTGATTGATATGACATCAATCTGGCCTTTTAACTGTGTAAGCTTTTCAGATTGCGACACGATATCCGCTTCAATGAAATGGGCTTCAAAACGACCTCGATCACGAAACATTTCGTATCCAACGTCCCAGTGACTGATGATGTCAACAGCATACAATTTGTCTGAGGGAGCTCCATCGTAGACAAGTCGTCGCAAATCATGGCCAACAAAACATCCCACGTCCATCAAGGTCTCACCAGCTTGCACCCGCTTCAGAATATCAGGATACACGGGGTTTCTGCACAGCTGGGGTACAAGCCATGCGCCGACTCCAGTGCAAGGGTATGCACGAATGTCCCATGCTAGGTCGCGCTAGATTCTGAGTTAGTAGGTAGTGGAAGTTAGGCATCACTTCAGTGGAAGTCAACTTACAACTCTATGAACATGCTGGGACTGCTGGACTGGTGGAATATGGCTGTATTTTTCAAGGAGCTCTCTAGTCTGGGATTAAAGTTAGCAAAGTGTGATTGTAGACGCATATGAAGGAATAAAAAGTGGTAAATTACCTCGGGAACTAGCTTTTCATCGATGTTGGGATGATAGAATGGAAACTTGGCCCTGTCTACTGACTTTGTATAGGCGGGCTCCGAATACTCAATTTCCGTAGACATCGTTTTGGAAGCGAAAACTGTACGTAGGTTCTGTTACTGATATTGAGCTGTGGCAAGTCGAGTTAAGGGCGAGATATCAAGACAACACGGCGGGGGTCTTATTTTCACTTTAATAATGATTTCATGGTTCCCGTCCAAGGTACACAACGAGCATCAATCGGCCGAATTCTTCCCCGACACCGCGTCTAAGCAGGCCCAGTCGAGAAATCGGTACCTGAGTCTAACGGCTTTAAAAAAGATCGTAAACTCCTCCAATAGGGATCGTTGTCGCATTATAATCTTCAATTTTGACGGACTTTCCGAGAAAAAGCCGTAATCTATGATATACCTGGGGTGCAACCGTTGGTCGTTGGTAGGTAGCTATAGCAGCATGGACTCGTAGGATGTTACATCTTACATCTTACACCTTACATCTTACACCTTACATCTTACATCTTACATCTTACATAAAACTAACGAATGCTGTAATGCAGCACGAACCGTGGGGGTGAAGCGGTGGAGACTTGTGGACACTGCCACATGATTCCCCACTGATTAGAGGTTCCCATCCATAATGTTTAAAGCTTATAATCACCACTCCAACTATTGCTCTAATAATAATAATAATAATAATAATAATAATACCAAAGACTAGTAGAATGCCTCTCGTCATCTCATGGAATCGGAAATAAATGTTCAAGTTGGTTTCTGCTTCCTTCCCAGAACGGATATCCTGCTACGCGAACGCGAAACTAGCCATGTTACGTTCGACCTTTAATGCTACCTCACTCTACTTTGCTCACATAATACGGCGATAATAGCAACATCTTTATTGTCTTTCCCCTTGGCTAATTTTACTAATTAGGCTAAAACCACTCAATGCATCCCTCGCAGGGGAGGTTCATTCCCCAGCGATTCCTCTTTGGCCTATCGCATCATGGTCTGCGGATATAACATCCGTCACTTAATTTTTTTCAGATCCGTCGCATCTTCATGGTCTCCAGTGACATGCTTTACTGGCCACAGGAGGATTACTATTCTCAGCTAAGCTGCATCGCCGAAAATCGAACCATCAAGTCCCCCGTCTAAATGGTAGTTTATCACATGCGTCGATAAGCCCTAGTGTGTTACCCTGACGGTTCAAAACACAAGGTAAGGAAGGGGCGAAAACTCTACGACGAGGAAGTTCCTTTGGACCTGCAGATTTTAACGCCAAAAGATTCGCCTGATATAAGGTTATCAGCTCTTCCCCACTTTCTTACCATCTGTCTGTAGGTATTAACAACAAGTTTCAGGCGACTGGGAATTTGCGACCGACCAACCTAGCGGCTTGAATTCTAGTCCTCTTGGCTATCATGTCTCCATCTCAAGCAGGTGTCTACACGGTGTCTGGTATTCTCATCTGTGCTTCCGCTCTTGCGGTCGCTCTAAGATTTCGTGCTCGATTGCTAAAGCACGTGTCCTTCGAAAGCGATGACTATCTCGCAGCGTTCTCTATGGTAGCTTTTCCCTACCATCTATCGTCTTCAGAAAAGCTGTATGACTGACAGATTTGTGGCTTCTAGCTTTTTGTATGGGCGCTCGCCATTGTCTTGATCATAGGTTTGTCTCTATGCCTCTGCGAATTCCTTCCCTAATCTGATGCCTTCTTTTCAGGAGCTGCGAGAGGCAGTTTAGGTACACATACGAAGCTCAATCCGCAAACTGGGGCAGTTATTCCAACATGGCATGAGATTGACACGTCCAAAGTTAGCCCAGACATTGAAACTGTCTTTCTGCTCTTGTACTGACCAATATAGCTTGCCGGTATTTCTCAACTTTTGATCATCCCAGCTCTCGGTGCACTCAAATTGAGCGTTGTTATGCTCTATCGCCGAATCTTTGTCGGTAAAACTTTCAACACAATCTCCATTATCGTTTGCATTATAATCGCAGCATGGACGATATCATTTTTCTTCGCTACTGTGTTCGAATGTGGACGAGACTTGGGATTACTTTGGCACAGTCTAAAGACCTTCAAAACGGATTGTGGAAAATATAAATTTATTCAGCTTGGCCACGCTGCATCGGATGTCGCAACTGACTTAATTGTCCTTGCCCTTCCTTTGCCCGTGATTTGGAATCTTCATATGACCACGGAGAGAAAAGTCGGTCTATCGTTGATTTTCTTGCTGGGTCTACTGTAAGTCAACTTTATTAATCATCAGCTTGCCAAGTTTTCTTTCTTACGCCTTCAAGTTCAACAGCAGCTGGTACCGCTCGTCTGGTTATTGTGGCGGAAGATATTTACGGTCAGTAGAAACCCAAGTTTTACGTTGTTGGCTTTATTTTGATTGCTGATTTCTACCCTATAGAAACTACGACAGGTTCGCGGGACGTCAGAGGTATGTGAAGGAGACCGAATATATCTTGTCATTCCTATTCTGACTTACATATCTAGGTGTCGAAACAAATGCTATGGTGTGGTCATATGTTGAAGTAGGTGTGGGTGTCGTAGCAGCTTGTCTGCCAACTCTAAGACCAGTCTTCGGAAGCCGAACTCCAGAAAGTTTAGTGAACAGTGTGCGGTCGGCCGTTACACTCAATTCTTTGACATCCTCTAGGAGACGCGCTTTTGCCAACGAGTCTGGCATTGACGGAACTGCTTCAGAACTCAAAGATTATGAAAGGCTTACCCGTGAACGCTCCAATCACGAAGCTGCTTCTACGAGGACTGAAGAGCCTTGAATGATGCAGATAGCAATGCTCGAGTTTCAGATTTTTCTGACGGTGGGATCAGTACACTACAAGGGGAATGAAGTCATCAGCATGAGGAAGGGCTAGGAAGTCATGTAACATTTAGATTAGAATTTAGCTGTGATACGACTTGGATATTTTTGGGTTGGAGATTAATTTTAAAATTTTGTAAAGGAATTTAGGATAAAACTGTTATAGAAAAATACGCAGCTCCGAGTAGCTCAAGTCTTTTAAATCTCACTTTTTCCTGTACAAAACTTTTGTCATCCACTTGGCACGAAGGTTGCAGGGAATCTTAACTGCCATGCTGTAGTTGCACTTCTGCAGTTGCACTTCTGCAGTTGCACTTCTGCATTGCAGATCTATGCTGACCACCTTGTTTCACCTAGTCTCTAAGATCAATGAAGTGCAACGGCTGATTCCGTCTGGAGCCAACGATTACCAATATCTTACGCACATCCATTGCCGAAATAGAAAACTTGAAGTACCTGCTGCATTTGGCTTACCGCGTGTCAAACTATGCCGGGGTAGTATTCCTTCAATCCACAACGCCACGAGCGATTATGGCTCACACCTTTTCACAATGAATAAGCGGATTACATCTCATATCAGCGGAGATTATTACCAGTTCTATCCAATGTCCTCTGATCACAACTGCTTACAGGGAAGTGTACAGAATCCTGTGTAGGAAGGGCTCGAGGCATACCCGGGTCCGAGTAGATTTGTTTGTTCGGTAATGGAACTATCCATTATTGTTAATTTCTATATTTAAACAGTGTATGAAGAGGCACAGCTACAGAGCTTAATCTGCAAGTTGGACTCCGCACCGAACAGAATGGTGAATAAAACCCTCGAAAACCCTCGAAAACCCACCAAAAGGAATAAATCGTTAAACACGGCATTTCTGCTAATTTTTTCCACCTTCCTTCCAAAGATCTAACCTGCGGAGCTTACGTACTTGACGAAATGAGCTCAACAATTTCAAATTCTCGTCCGGTTTTCGTTATCATTCCTGGCGCGTCTCAAACACCCTCCCACTATGCTCATTTGATTCATTTACTTCACAGCCGTGGCTATGGAACCCTAACGGCTCTCCTCCCTAGTGGTGGGGCAACCAAACCAGTTAGTGCGGAAGAAGATGCCGAGTTCATCCGATCACGCTTACTGCTTCCGCTCCTGGACACAGAGAAGCATAACGTGGTGTTAGTTATGCACTCTTACGCTGGACTTCCTGGTAGTGCGGCAGCACGTGGATTGGGAGAGGCGGAGCGCATAGCTGAGGGAAAGACAACCTCTGTTCTAGGGCAGATATTTATCTCGACAATCTTGCCATACGGAGGTGATGGTGCCGATGTAATCGCCACTCTTGGTGGTCACTGGCCTCCATTTATCAACGTTAATGTCGCCGAGGGACGTATCAAATGCGACCAGCCTAAGGTACCTCTATATGCAGAGATTTCTTCACCGGTGGACGAAGCATTAGCAATGTCATGCATCAGCCAAAGCATCACATGTTTCACTAGTCCATGTCCTCTTACAAGCTGGCATTCTGAGGCATTTCAAGGTCGTTGTGCATATGTGCGAACACTTCATGATCAAGCTGTCCCATACGAAGCACAATGTGCAATGCTAGAGAGCACAGGACGGAAGTGGATCGTTCATGATATCGCCACTGGGCATAGTCCTCAACTTGCTGCGCCAGAGTCACTGGTTGAGATTATCTTGGAATCAGCGCGGCAATTTGGAGCCCTACCACAAATACAGAAGGATAAAAGTACGCTAAGCGTTAACACCGGTCTTTTCGATTTGCGTCGCTTGGTATGGTGGATGAAGTTGTTTACGAAAATGTGGAAATAACCATATGCAGAGTGGACAATCTCCACCCGGTAAAGCAATACAGAGAACGTGTAAATATGTTTATGAGACGGTGGTAAAGATGATGGGAAGTAGATATTACACAACAAAACTTCCTTCCTTTACATCCTTCGTGTGTCCTGATGAATTAGACCCATTGAGCAAACTCCACTTCTCGAATTCCTCCTCTAGCTCCCGTGAAGAAATAGTGCCTCCAAAATGCTGCAAGTTGATTATGGAGGCCAAATATTCCTTCTCACTTAACGTATCGGTAGCATCCTGCACAGTCAAAGACTGGATACCGTACATCCACGCGTCACGCACTGTAGATTCAACACAGATATTTGTCGCTACTCCGGTCGCAATAATTTGATCGATCCCCCGCTCTGACAAAACTCGATGGAAATCTGTGCCGAAAAACGCAGAATGTCGCTGTTTAGACACAACGCCATCGTAGGGTTCCGGTCGAAGATCATCAAGAATCTGCGAATCCCAAGTCTCTCGAACAAGAGCTTTTGCTTGCTTGAGCCCCGGCTTGCTATCAATCATTATACCGGCATCGGAAAAATCTTCGCTAAACTCCATGCGTGTGTAAAAGACTGGAATGCCGGTGCTGTGACAAAGATCGATGAGACGTTTTATAACAGGGACAATGGCGGCTTGTCGAAGGATTGGAATCCCAACTTTGCTGAAACTTCCAGATGGGTGACAAAAGCCATTTTGCATGTCAATGACGAGCAGTATTGGAGAGGAATTTAGCCGAGTCATGGCCAAAGGTCTGCTGGAATGATGAAAAGGGGAATGCGGTGGTGTACTGAATGATTCAGCGTAGAGTAAAGGATTGGTTGGTCAAAAGTAATAGATAGAAAGAAGGAAAGCAAAAAGTTTGACATAATACTCTGTGCTTATATATAATGAGTTGGCACTCATGCGGGATGTAACCTGCATAATGAAATGGGGGGATTGCCATGTCAGATCAGCTGAACGGTAGGCTGCATATGAAGGATTCAAAGTAGCCGCACACGGAAAATACTAAGTATGTGGCACGGCAGGCGCAATGTATCCCGGAGATTTTGGCTTGTTCGACAGTTAGACTTTAATCCTCCACTATAGTTTTCTGTAAATGTTAATATTGAGCATGCCATCAACACCAGTTAAGAGCTCACCTTTCGTCGAAGGAGAGGTGTGTAAGATTCTCGTCTGAATATGTACCTCATTAAAGTTATGAAACCATTAAAAATGGACATGATCCAAAATATTCAGGACCACACTGCCAATTGTGTAATAATACCGCCAGCAATTGAACTAACTGTCGCCCCAAGGTATGGTAGAAAAACTGCAATCGCGAGAGACTTATTCGCAGTCTCGTTTTCAATATTACAAATTCGCCATGACCGGTGCAGCAAGCTTTGAGGGATGAGCTGTCAGTGAATGAACCTTTTATAGACAGATATCGAGTCTACTAATACATACTGTGATACCACCGCTAGCACCTATTCCCATCATGAGTCTATCCCTAATCATCAAAGCCTGTGAGTTACCTAAAAGACAATGAACATTCCACAAAATGTACAATGCATTGCAAAATAACCATATGCCTTTTCGGCCGTTAATTTTAAAGAAACCTGCAGCAAAGAAGGTGTCGATGGCTAGACCAAGAAAATAAGTAGAGAATATAATTCGAGTAGTATAGTTGTTGATGTGGAGGTCGCGAGAGATGTTTCCGAGGGCAGCTCCAATCATACTAGCTGATATGAAAGTCACTAGCTGACCTAGGGAAAATATGAAGTCAGTTATAATCTTGCGCCACGATGGCCAATTGTAAGGATCTTGAGGATTATCTGGACCATCCCATGTGCTCTGACTTGAACTTGAAATCGGTCACTATGAGTAGGTGTTCACCAATATTGGCCTCACCATATTTTTCTCTAAGATTTTCGAGACGTTGAGAGGTTTCTTCAGTTAGATCAACCACCGATTGGACGTGTTAAATCTCTTGCTTTGATTTGTTACATCGAGTAAACTCTTTTTTCCCGGTGAAAAACACCTAAAACTAAGCCAGGTAACTTTTCTGTGCAACTAGCAGCATATTTCACACTACCGAACATAAATTAATGTCAAAGGAATTCTCAGCAGTTGGGAGGCTTCGAGGTAACTTCAAAGAGTTGACCAAAGTGATCTGTAAGATCGAAAGATAAGCAAGTAGTGAGCCATTTGAGTTGCTCTAACTGAGCGAGTTTAAAAACCCCTTTGCTTTATTCTTCCAGCCGCCACTAGACTTCCGTACTGGTCCAATATTTTGGCCATCTTCATCCTCTCCCTCCATAGCAAACTTTAACATAGCTTGTATAACCATTCCACCCATCTGTTTGTCATCGCTCCAACTAATTCTCATTTCCCCCATCACAGGTTGGCAATTTTTCTCATGAGGATATAAAGTATATCTTAGGCCACCTCCGCCAAATGCAGGAATCTCAGGTCCTTCCCATTCTTCCCATGGTCCTTCAAGTTGTGGCGCACATGCAATATATATCTTATTGGCTGGAAATTTGTTGTTACCAAACCAAAGATATGGTCGTCCTTTTGGTGCTAGCTCTGGAACTTTGATTATTGCTCCTTGTGCTTGAACTGGAATCACGTTGACTAGTTGATGAAGTGAGTATGAGCGATCCCATACTTTGCTCTTCCCATCGAGAGTATGAATGAGAAATTCATAATTTTCTCGCAAGGTAAAATCAGAACCCGACCGGATGCGAGCCCAATGGTTCTTCAGATCAAGGGTTGGTGATGGTGCATCTTTGGCACCTAAAAGATAGATATAGCCATCATCTCCAACTACGTGAGTGGTTATGCCAAATTGTGGCTCGTTCTCTCCGAATAGGATATTGTCGCCCTACATTTGTGAGTGATTCATCTCGGAATAAAGCCTCAAGGGCGAATGTCAAGAGACGGAAAGAGCTTCTTAATCCAAGGCTCCTAACAAATTGGCCATCATATTTTCAGCAGAAAATTCGGAAAATAAATAACTCACCATCAATCGGTCCACTTTCAAAGAATTGTCAGGTTGAACTTGCACACGAGCAACACCTTCACCAAATCTCTTGCCAGCCGTAGACCCATGCTTTATATCTTGTCAGTCAAATTATTCTCCATGAGCAATTCCCATTTTAATTGAAAGAACTCACCGTAAGCATTTTTTCGTAAAATACCCATCCATCCCTCGACCCTGGGAATTCTTCAATGATGCCTCCAAAAGCCCAATTGACAACCCTGTTAATCTTTTCTTTATTCGTTGGATCCTTCTCATACTCATCTTCACTAGGTGTATGGGGAATAAATGAGGGTTGATGTGCATCGTCGTGCATATATGTACAGGTCAATGGATCATTCTCGGGGTCTGGTACGTAGGCAATGGTGTTGTTGGAAACTCCGACGAAATGGTTTGAGGAATTGTGGCAGAAAGTGTCACCAAAGAGGTAGTAGGTGTTGCCTCCAATGTAAACAGGTCGACCTATGTCACGAGGATATCTACGGCCAGAAACTAATTGATGAGGATTTGAATATGATCTGGAGATTTTGGAGATATTGAGATATTGACATACTGTCTGTGACTTCGCCGAAGACCTGAATGTTTTTTATTTGAGGTGGCCTATAACAGCATTAGAAGCCATGCATATGTCAAGGAACGTTTCAACTGAAGTTCCGATCTCACCATTTCATGTGAGGCATTTTGGACCTCTATGTATATCAGTAAAGACGATAATGTAATCTTATGACAGTGAAGGTGCCATCGAGCATGTATCTTTCTTTATACGATTGGATTCGAAAGCTTGTTCAAGTCTTGTTGATGCTGCGTGATGTCACTATCACAGGCATACTCGTACCGCTATACCTCGGTCGGCTCATGTTGGTAGACGCTTTGAAGAAAATTCGGGCAGTGATCACCCGCTGTAGCGTCGTGACCTTATCCGCAGGAAGAACATGATTAGGTAAGGTTATCCACTGTGTGGCTTTTGAAAGGTGGTTGGTGGCTGAGCATTGAGACTAGGGCTTCTCCAGGCCATTTACATTATTGATTCATTGGACTCTGCAAATGCTCAAATTCTGAGTAGCTAGAGATGGATATCAGCCTTGAGAGAATAAAGAATTCAGGCTTTATTCGTCACTATATATGGTGTTGAGTTTGAAGAACGTGAGAAGAACGTGAGAAGAACGTTTGGAAGATAGATTGGTGGTAAAAGAACATATTAATAAAAAATGTAATAGCACATCTATCCTCATATTACTTGTTGGCTATCTTACAATCCAGCTTCCAAAATGGTATCAGCCCACTTCCTTTGACAAATTCCATCCTCTAAAAATTAAAGCTAATTGAAAAAAATCATAAATTCCTGTTACATTATGCAAATGAACCCGAAATCGGTCGGGCATCCCCTCCCATTCCTATATTTTCTCCTTGCAATACCCTCTCTAAGTCTTCGTCGAGTTACTTGCTCCGGTGGATAACTCCATATGACTGATCATTGGACCCCATTTTGGTAGTTCATGATCAACTGTACTTTGCTGGACAGTAGCGCTTACTACGGTAATCGTTAAACTTGGCACAGCTGAATTCTCGATTTCAGTATCATCAAGGAGTGTAATGCGATAGTGAAGGTTCTTTTTAAGGTATGGTTCCACGTCCTCATCGTTTAAAGAATGCAAAAGACCTTGTGAGATATCGTCAAGTAGGGCGCTAGTAAGTGGAATCGTTCCTGTAACCAATTGGTTGGGATCAGCTGCAACGGCACCGGAGGATGAAAGTTTGGCAAAAACACAGTGAGTGCCGACTAAGTTGGGCTCGAAGGACCAACTTGAGGGTTCATCTTTGAAAGGTCCGAGGAAGACGTGAACGAAGAATGACTTGGAGAGGGCAAATTTCTTGGCTTGAATGTTGGCTATCCATTCTGTGTATTGACCATTTGTAGCTAAAACAGGAAGATTAGATGAGGAATTGACTTGGAGCTCTCGTCCCGCTATTCTTGAAGAAGTTTCTCGGGTCGAGCGGTGAGAGATAGTCTTTGCCGGGGCAGTGGTCCCGTACAGAAGGTTTATGGCTTTGATAGCCTGAGCAGTGGTGTTGCCCCCTTGCACTGTTTCTGGGTATGCATAACCAAAAGCTTCCGTTGATACAACATCTGAGGAGCTATAAAAGTTATTTCCGCCAGCATCATAAAATGGCTTAAGTGGTGTGGATGCATCCTGGATACTTCCTGCCGTCATAGTAAATGTGCTATATGAAGCTGCCTTGGGTGTCACATAACTGTGCGGATTCAAGGTTTGCCAAATAGCGAAACAGCGATCGACCATAGCATGATGCAGAAAGAAAATAGGATCAAAAGCTGAGTAGTCGATGTAAGACATGTGGCCACCACTTCCTGTCAAACCATGAATTTGATCATGCAGAGATTCAATGGAATCGAAATCTCCAGGGCTGGATGCGGTTATCCAAGCTTCATTGCTGAACGTACTGTAATCATGGTAGTTTGTGAAGAGATTATACAAACGATTTCGAAATGAAGCAGCACTGTTATCAAGTTGTTGAGCAACAAGGGCATTTTGTGAAGTAGCGGAGGCAGTCCCTGATGTGGGGTATCTCAAAGTTTGCGAATACTGGCTGAACTGTGGGGTGTTAGTAGGTCATAATGAGTGATGATTTTACACTTACAGGCGCATCCGGCAATTCCGATGGGTCCAGGGGGTTAAAGTAATAACTAAATAGTGGATTGGAGATCGTTTGAACACCAGCAGGGCCATTGACGGTAATCGTAGGCTTCGAAACACTTGGGGGAAGAACACTTTGCCCTTTTGGTGGTACTGCAGCCCAGTCCCAGTATGGAACACGGAAGTTAACCGCAGCAGCTGTATACCTTTCTCGCTCGGCTCCAGCAGGAAATTGTTCCGCAATAAACAAAACGATGCTGTGAAGCACTTGCTGTAGAAAACGTCAATACAGTTAGCTCACATTATAACGCAAAGCAAACCCCACCTCATAAAGTGCCAAGTAAGGCCTGTGCCAAGTAGGGAAGAGAATGGAGACATGAGTACAATAGCCATTATTCTCGTCACCTGCAGTTGCTTGAACTCCATCGTATGGAAGATAAGGTCTACCATGAATGCCTAATTGGTATTAGCAAATTCCATCTGTAAGGTTTATTGACATTTACCAGATATTTGATACCATGAACGAATATCTGACTGATTGATAGTTTGCATCATTGAGGTTCCCAAGATATATAGCTCCCATAGGTCCGCGTCCTTCTCTAGGTCTCGAACCTCTTGACGAAGTGGTATTGATGAATTTGAGCCAATGTACGACACTCCAGTAGTGGGCATGTGTGGAACATCCCGTTTCAAAAGAGCCCCTACGTCTACTCCATAATCATAGCCTCTTGGTCTTTGATCTTGAGGCGTTGGTATCGCTTGTGCTGTTTGTGATAGAAGGTTCCCAGCAATTGTAATGATAGAAACGATCGAAGCACCTCGAAAGACGACCATTTCGATCCCAGTTTTTGGATTGCAGTGGAAAGATTGTGAATAAGGTGGATGATTTTCAGGTGAAGCTCTTTTGAATTGGATGCCAATGTTTTGCAAAGTGGACTGTGTTTGGCGGGTAGACTGATCTTTTAGGGTCAAGTCAATAGTGTCAAGTAGGAAGCAGACGTTTAAAAGCTGTAACTTTGAATTGATTGGGTGAAAAAAGTCATCAATGTCTAGAACGAGAGTGGATGCAAGCAAACGAGCGTGAAGATGTGGCGACGATAGAGTGATTGACTCCTACGATCAAATAAAGGAAAGTAAATCCAAAGAAAAATAAAAGAACGTATGTAAGGAAATAGAAGAATATGGAGTGAGTGACGAAAAAAATAGAGAAGAAATGATTCTCGATGAAAATTCAATGTCACATGTTCTTATTTTGCTTTTTCAGAGGAAATGAGAGAAACTTATGATGTAGGACTCGCAAACCATGACTGCAGGCTGAGCCTCAGTTGGGAATTGGGATTGTATTGAAGGAACGGTTATAGAAACGGTTATAGAGAAGAAATAACACCAAGAGCCCGATTGAAACGTGATTTGCCATGTTTAGTTGAGTGGTTCATCGGCAGGTTGCCGGTAGGATTAATGTAGCGTCCCATCAGGATGCTTTTGTGGTCATCATTAAGATTTGGAAAACAACATCCTTCGACCATTGTTGGAGGGCAAGCTCAGCTCAACTTTAGTACTGGCAGCCAACGAGTTATTCGATCGTGGTGTTGTAAGTATTGTATTGATTGTACAATTTACATTGTACATACATATGCGTGTGTGTGTGATATGATATACAAGAGAGTCTGCTGAATGTAAAGAATAACCTTATTAAGATCTTATTAATATCGCTAAGGCTAACGAAAAGCCTAAAAAAGCTTGACCCACTCACTCGTCTTTAGCGTTCATGTGGTGTAATGTGGAGAGGACGGTGGCATGTGTAGCTCGTAGTACCTCCTGTAACAACCAAAACATTCTCTAGAAAAGAACCTTACTGAAAAATTGATCATTACAGATGGAGAGTAGACTTGCTTACTCATCGTTCGAATTGGCCTGTCAGAAACTATATGTTAGTTACCAGTACCTTATCTAACTGGCTATAGCTATCATCAATTCACATCGCTTGAAGTCTCAATCTCAGGGGTGAATTCGCAAGTCTTACCCGTTGATATGCTCAATGCAATGCCGTGGCACAGAAATAATGTATAGGGACGTTTCTCTTTCCCCATCCGTATCCTGCCTAATCCTGCCTTGACTAAGGAATAACGTTATCTTTCATCTGGAGAATACGATCGTCTTAATCTCCACGAGCTTCACAACACCCTCACGTATGGTTAGGAACCTCATGCGAAGTAATACGTGGTACACTATTTTCGTCTCCTTATTCCAGCTTTTGCTTACTGCGGATTCCTTGGCATCTCCTTGGACATCTTAATTCATCCCGTCGTAAATGCCTTTTTCGAATGATTGACGCTATGCACTAGTTTATTTCATGTCTTGATTGCAGAAAGATACATTGTCTGCCGTGATCATATTTAGAATAGTGGGTAGGCTGTTGTCAGTGTTACCAAAAAGGCATGTCAGAGAGGATTTATAAAACAGACGACGGAGATCGCTGGAGTACCATTGATCCCTCGCAGAAAATTTCTCATTATCTATTCCAAATTCTACTACTTTCACCACAGGTACGTGAACATTCCCCCCCGCCCTGTCAATATGCCCGATATCGATCCCCCTTCTTACATCTACATGTTCTCTTCTCTGTTTTACTTGACTGACATCTATCTCACCTTTTCTTTCCCTGTTACAATTGAAATTCCCCATTACCTTCCAAGTTTTATGGCGGTATTTCCCACTGCTGTGTGCCTCCATGTAACTACTCATCGTCCCGTGTCCTTGTAAACTTCTAATTCATGAAATGTCATGTTTTAGTGAGAATTAAATCCATCCAAATGCTCGACCAGACGATACACGTTCCATACCATCATCAGAAGAATTCTCGAAATTACTAACGACTGCTCAACCATTGTTCAGAGGTTGGACCATTGAGATCTGCTACACTCAGCAATAAAAGATTGCATGCTCCATCACGGGAAAAAACCTCGCAGCACCAAATCGGATTCCAACCCGAGGGCACCATTAAATCTATGAAATTTTATTCATGCTAATCGATATTTTGTAGCTTTTGACCATGGAATCATGCAGTGTCCAAACAAAATTAAAGAGTACCCCTTGTAAATGCTACAATTATTCCTTTCCCCAAACGCCAGCCAAATTCAATTCGTCAATCATCTTCTACTGCCCCCTCTGTCCTCACCAGCAACTTACTCAACTCACGGGCCAACATTATACTTCAACTTGATACCCATAGCCGCCAACTCAACATCCAAATACTTCAACACACCCGGAACAGCCACAACGGTTGTGTCCTCACCACCAACCCATCTCTGACCCTTTCCATCCTCCCATACCTCTCCTCCACCGAACTTTCCTTCCGCTCTTGTGGCACATTTCCTGCATCTCACCACACCCGTTCCTTTCTTCTTACTTGCAAATGCCGAGACTGTAGGCTGAGTCGACAAGAAAGTACCACACTCCTTACAGATCCATGATTTTGTGTAGTCCGAACAGTTGAGTAGTCTGTCTTGTAACAAGAAAGCTGTACCGTGAGCCAACAGAGAATCACGTTCCATCTCTCCCACACGGATACCACCACCCTTCTTTCTACCTTTGATAGGTTGACCGGTGAGTTGTGTAACGGGACCAGTGGTTCTGACTTGGTATTTATCGTTTACCATGTGACGAAGACGTTGGTAATAGACAACTCCAATGTAGATATCGGCGTGCAACTCCTCTCCAGTGATACCGGAATACATAGGTTCGTTACCGTAGTAATTGTACCCAGCCTTCATCAATTGATGCCCAAAATAATCACCCGCCTTGTGCTCCTCATCGAATTTGAATGGTGTACTGTCTTGCGCCAAACCGTGTAACGCTCCTGCTTTGCCGGCTAAGGACTCGACGAACATACCAATAGTCATACGAGAGGGGAAAGCGTGAGGATTGATAATGGTATCAGGTTGAATACCAGACTCCGTGAATGGCATATCAACTGCTGGCCACTTTTGCGAACAAACACCCTTCTGCCCGTGACGACTTGAAAATTTATCTCCAATGACAGGAGAACGTGGAATGCGGAGTTTGACAGAAATAGCTTGACAAGGCTCTATTCCGTTCTCATTTCCGATCAGTCTCACTTCTTCGATGAATGCAATTTCGGTCTCCTTGTATTTCTCGAAATGAGTTTGGCCATCTCGATTGATATATTTTCCATTCTCATCCATCGATACCGTGTGCCATGCAGCAATCAAGTCACCATTCTGAACCATGCGACCGATGAACGGCAAACCATCCTCATCAATGGCTGCTTTCCACTCAGCTTTCACGAGTCCACCAGGAGCGAAACCAAATAGCTTCTTAATATTTCTGGCAGATCGAGATTTGTGTCCTTCCTCTAATTCGTACTTTTTCGTCTTGTAAATGGTTCCGTGACCAAAGCCGCGCTCGTGCGCGGACTTGTTGATGATCATAGCGTCGTCCATGTCGTATCCAGTGTAGGAAATGACGGCAACCACCGAGTTCATTCCATTAGGGAAGTTGTCGAAACCATATTCGTTATGGAGTGGGGCGCGGACAATTGGAGTTTGTCCGGTTTGGAGACGATAAGCCTTGTTGTCTGTTCTGTAACGGATGGCAGTTCCAGGTGTACCCATAGATTGTTTACCCATCTGACATTGATACATGTTTCTAGGTGATTGGTTGAAATCGGAGAAGGGAGTCATGTTGGCAAGAATAGACAGAATATGAGTAGGGTCAAACTCGACGTGAGTGTGTTCCCCGGGTTCAATCTCCTGCGCGGTGACAGCAATAGACATGAAGGGTTGTTCGAGTGGGCCAACGAAATCTTCTTTATCGAGTGCTAGATATTTCACTGGTCTGACCATTCTAGCTGGCGCAGCAGAAAGATAGATACCTGGGTATTGTCCGCCGTGAGAATTGGGGATGTATCCGATTTCCAAATTAGTCGGAACACCATGTGTTCCTTCGACCTTCCAGTAACGTAAAGTATCGGCAATGACGAGAGATTGCTTGGGTGAACACCATCCCATAATCTTTCCATCTAATTGAACGACAACACTTTCATCAGTGGATGATGAGCCGCCACTAACAACACCTAGCTCTGAAAGGAGCTTTGGTAGAGCTGATACATCAGAGGCGTGTGTGAGGATTATGCATTTGTGCGAGAGATGGTTAAGCAGCCCACAAGGACTTCCATCAGGAGTATGCACAGGACACATGAAACCCCAACTCTCTGGCAGTAACTTACGAACGGTAGTAGTCTTCAATTGGGCAAAGAAACTACCTCTGTGAATCATGCGGAAATGAGCGATGAATCGCAAGAAATTAATCTTTTCTGCAACAACCGTGAATCCAGAGGTTTGTTGAAGATCCAATCCCGTCGGACTGACCAGATTTCCAGTTGACATGAAGTACTCTAAAGCACCGCCAACCTGTTCATTTGTTCTTGAACAAATTTTGACCGGGAAATCTTTCAAAAATTCTGGTGTTGTGAAGTTGTTTTCCGGGCTTCGTCGGACATAGTCCCTCAACGCCATTCTCAAACTAGTGTGAAGCCAATCCTCTAGTCTCTCCTTGATGATCATTCCAAACAAAAATCCTCCAAGCAAAATCTCCTGATTCTGGACCGCATCAGGATTGTCACTAGCACAGTCTCTAGCAACCAAAGAATACAACTTTCTGGTCATGAAAAGAAGCATCTTAAATTTATCCTTGTCTTGCGCTTCTGTGACGTTGGTATTTCCGAGATGGACGAGGACAATCTTTCGCAGAAATTCCGTTCCGACATCGTAATTTGACATGGTATCTGGGACTCCAAGGACGATTCTGAACTTCTCGCCCAAGTATGCTCGAGTCTTGCTCTTTGTGTATAACCCATAGGCCTTGTAGGTTCGTAATAACAATTCCACCCGATCATTCAAGAATGTGTTATCTGTTCCCTTTGAACCAGCAGTGCCTACAAGCCCTTCAAAAATTTCCTTGTCGTTTGTCTCCACTAACGCCTTCAAAATCATCATGGCAGGTACCAGAAACTCGTTCTTGCGCCACGAGAAACGGAAAGTAACATTTCCATCATTTAGATAGTGAAGAACATTGGTCTGGGAAGTTTGATCAGGCCGTACGGATCGAATGAGCATACCGAATTCGGTGTATGCTGGACCTCTGCCTTTGAATGAAGGTCTAATGATGGCCATGGGGAAATTCCTACGATTCACAACAAGAAGACGAATGATTTTCTCAATTCCGTTCACCACGAAATATCCTCCAAGCTCCTCGGATTCTTCTTTCTTCTGTACAAGCTGTGCTGGTGAGTTGTTTTGAAGATGACATTTATTTGACTGGAAATGAAAAGGTCAGCTCTATTGAGAATGAAGTAGGTGTGGATCACTACCATCAACATCAAAGGCAATTGCCCAAGATCTCTAATAAACTCTTTCGGGTCTCCATTGTTAATCGAGTACTCCATGCGCGCCGACATCTTTCCTCTGTAAGTAACATGTCGTTCTCTGCATTCTGCCGGTAAAATTTCTCTGTTCTTGGTAGAAAATTTGTTGGATGGAGGCAACATAGACTTTTCAACAAAGACTTCCTTAATTCTGACGGTCAAACTATTCTTTCCACTAGGTCCTAATCTATCATCTCCATCGAGGTATGTCTTGGATCCAATATCTAATAAACCTTGAGCAATTAAGCCATCTTTCTCGAAAAGTGCATTGAACGACTCGATGTGAGGTGCAACCGCAGCTGTAAGTGCAGGATATGCTGAGTGATCTTTTGGAGGGTCTCTGAAAAGCTTCTCTCTTCGAATCGTATCAAATTCATGAGTCCATTTTGTATTTGTAGGAGAGGAGGTAGACTTCGAGGGAGCCATGGCGAAGCTGAGCGCAATTGATTAGTTAAGGGAGGTTTCCATGATAATATCATCAGAGGCTAATGGAGGTGATATTCAATACTTACGATCAAATCAAATCCTTCAATTCATGGAAAAGCGTAAACTACCCAAAGAGTTTGTTGATATCAAATGAGCGGCATTTACAAATTGCGGCAGAAAAAAAGTTTCGAAAATATTTTGATGACATAAGCACCCGGGATATCTATCTTATCGCAACGATGATATCTTAACGCCGAGGCTTTTTTGTTTGAAGCAAGTACCGGTACCAATACCCGCAGTATTAAAGCAAACCAAACTTCACATTCATCAGGCTTCAAGCTTCAAGCTCATGATATTCTGGGCAATATCTTGGGCTCTCGATCCGCAGGAACTCCAACGCCCCGGGCACTGATGGCTTGACATTTGACCTAGATGAATGTAAGATCTTAAGGATTCCATTCGCTCTTTCAATGTCAAAAGGCTTCATGATGTTGTTGCTTGCATTAATGCATGAGAATAATCCATTGGATGGAAGTACTGAAATCTGAATCTAACGTTCCCGGAATGAAGCTGCATGTCTGACTGGTATGCGACATGGGATATGTGATATATGGTACGAATGTACTGATGTTGTTTGAGATGCATCTGTGTATACCTACATAGATAGATACATACCTACCTACCTCTACCTTGGTTACTTATTCGGATCGAATGAGAGGAAACGAACGAACTGATCTCGTCATATTCTACTCACTACCCATATAGTAGGGTGGAAGTGAATGTACTCTTTTTCGCCTATTGAAAAGAGACATTCCCGCCCTTTTCTTTTTGCTACGGAGGCGAGTCTCTTCTTGTCTCGAACCTCATTAACACCCAAGATAATACTGTACTTTGCTATTATTCCATCATTCTACTTATTTTACTTATTATTGACCTGATGATCTCTTGCATATCGAAAACTTGTTTCTGTTCTTTTGCTCATCCATCATTTGGTCTATCAGGTATAGGGATTAGGGATACCGGTATATTGATATCTCTTTCTACCGGACCTAAGCAAACCCTTTCTCGCATTCCTACCTATTATTGATTGCATGACAATAACCGACAACCCAGTACTACATCACAGATACTCAAAGACATTCACTCACTTGGTATCTGACTGTTGTGTTGCTCTTTCTATGTGGATACATATTTATCAATTTTATCAATCAGTACGGGGTATCAACCAGTACGGACCATCAATCAATCAATCAATCAACCAAATCAATCGATCGATCAAACCTGCAACTCCATTTCATCCAACACCAAGTGCCTCCACTGTACTTATCGCCTACCCGCCCGCAAAACCACACAATCAGTACAATCATTACCAAAGTGGTTCGTGCATTTCTTCCTCTTCCCTGAGGGGAATCAGTGAGTGAGTGAGTGAGTGAGTGAGTGCATCAATCAAATCAGTCAGTGAATCACAAGCACGAGCACAAGCGCTTCAACCGATTGTGCTAAGCTGCTAAAGCTACGCTGCTACCTTCACCCTTCAACCCTTTACCCTTTACCCTTTACCCTTTACCCTTCACCCTTCACCGTCACATTGAAACCTTGAGAGAAGAATCTATCTATCCGCCGCCATAAATGCTACCATTCACCTTCACTCATTCACCACGCACCACTCACCACTCACTATTCCACTCTGTACAAATCGTCAAGGTCACTTTGGAAAATTATTGAAATTACAAAGAGAAGTGTGCGATCCCTTGGTGGCAGCTATCTGATTATTGGCTTATTGACGGAATAACGGTCTGCGGCTGCACACACACTGCATCTTTTGCTTCTTTTGCCGGCTTCAACCCTGCAATCTTGCTATCTTCCCTCTCTCTCAAAAACCTCATCTACCTACCTACCGTACCTGTACAGCAGCCTCGCGAATCATCGAAATAACACAACGCTCAGCAAAAGAGCTTTAGAGCTTCCATCAAAACGATTATAATTTACAAAAGGTGTGCCAGAGTGACTGAGTGATCATGGCAAGCATATTTAGACGAGTGTACGATTGGTTGCTGCGACTTTTCTGGTGTGTATATTTTACCATCTTTTGCTTAGTGAAAACGTCAATTTGGCGCACTACTTCGTGCTCACCGTGAACCATCCGATAATGCCATTTTTCAATGTTTCCTGCTTCTCATCAGCTAACCTCGGATCTTGCCGTTTAGGGCTACCGAGATGGATATTACGATGATCGGTTTGCAAAATGCTGGAAAGACCTCTTTGTTGAGAGTACTGGCGGTAAGCTCGAATTTCACTCACCGGTCGCTTCATATCGAAACTTTTACCTTGGCGCAAATGCTGACGATCATGTCAATACGTAGGGCGGAGAATTTACACTTGAGTACGATCTTCCCTTTCCCTGACATCCCAGACAACACATACAGACCTCTCTATCATGACCCGAATTTAGTTGAAGCGGGGTTCGCAGATTCGTAGACCCCACGTTGCGCAACCACATCAAGCTGACCACCTTTTGCTTCCACTCATAGCTCCATTCCTACCGTTGGCTTTAATATGAAGCGTGTCCAAAAAGGTCACGTCACCCTCAAATGTTGGGATCTGGGTGGGCAGCCACGCTTTCGTTCCATGTGGGAACGATATTGCCGCGGCGTGAATGCGATCGTATTTATTGTCGACTCAGCCGATCCGGACGCCTTACCAATCGCTAAGGATGAGCTTCATCTGCTGTTAGAAAAGCCGGTTTTGCAAGGTATACCACTTTTGGTGTTGGGAAATAAGTCCGATTTGGAAAACAAGCTGAGTGTAGATGAGTTGATTGAGAGATTGGATTTGAAGAGTGTGGGACATAGAGAGGTGAGCTGTTATGGGATCAGTGCCAAGGAAGAGACGAATTTGGATGCAGTTTTGCAATGGCTGGTTGCGAGAGCGAATAAGTAAGGCGACCGTGCGGAAGGGTTGATGAATGATAAATCATTGAGGAACAGGTAAAGCTTGCCGCAAGTTTGGAGTGTGACGAGTGCGAATTTCCGGGTATTAACGATGATTGACGACACGAAATGGCGAAAAGATGGGATGATACATGATCGAACTTCGAAAACGGTCTTCGCGGACCATGAATATATCTCCTCAGCTCACAGCAACCAATTCTAATTATTTTCAAATTCTTCCTTCTCAATCGGGATCTTCTCGACGTCTGGTTTTTCGATATGCTGTGAGCGGAACAGCAGGACAGAAATGTATCCAATTTCCTTGTATTCTTCTTGATGATGCGCCAATGTCTGCTACGATGAGACGACTTACGACCCTCTGCTTTCTTGTTAAATTATTGGGTCGACGTTCCGCGTGTTGAAAGGTGCCAGTTGGTAAATGAGGTAGTGGGTACTGGGTGTTGAGATGATGGGATAGGAAACACTGTATTTAAAATATTCATATTTTGTGCCTTTTGTATCCAAGTGTGTTTCCATCAATTTTCTGAGTGACGCATGTTTTTCACTATTAGCCAACCTCAAGTATAAAAATAAGGAGATTTCAGGCGGAACATTCAGGCGCCTTGTCTGTATGTGTGGTATTGACGATACGTTATGCCGACATCGTACCTTGGCAATGACAGAAATGAGGCAAATATTCGTGTTGGAAGTTTGAAATATGTTGAGGGCTTTCCGGGAGGACGATGAATTGAGTTTGAAGGAGATGGGCTGTCCAAAGCTTGTAGTATTTGCCCGCGATGGGAATACATCTAATGGCAAGTCTAATGTGAAGATTCGGAATGCCTTCATGGATATAAGGGTGCGCGTGTACCCATCGATAGTCCATTTCTTGGCAGGAAAGCCTTCGCCTTTGGTATTTCGAACCTCGAGTCAAAATGTGTAAAGATTTGAAAAATTCTGGGAAGAAGCTCGAACCGAATAGGAAGCTTTACGGCCGCGTGCTGAGTGTTTTACACCAATCCCATATTCCATATTCCCATTTCGCATCGTTTTCCTCGGCGCATTCCTCTGTACATAGCAATCATAACTGATTTCTCGTGGTGGATTCGCAATGTGCTCAAATGGCGAGATATCGTAGGGGCGTCAAGTTCTCTCTCAAGAATTGGACCGACAGGAAGACATTGAAGGGAGAAAAAGAAATTATGGAAGGAGAGGAGGCTAGACACTTCATACAATAAACATATTGAGCTGCATCGCGCATGCTTCGCTGGCAGCTCTTATTTCTAAAAGCACAGTCCGCACGTTTGATGCGTTGGCACGGTGCATGGATTCCCATGGCTTGCAGGAAATTTGATATATTAATGATTTTAATTGGATGAACTGACGAGAAGGGGATTTGATAATGTGATTTGAAGAAAAATTATCCTTGAGACAAGTTTGACAAGGCTTAGAAAGAAGGGAGAGAGAGAAAAAAGAAAAGATTTTGGAAACTGGACAGTGCAAGTGCTTGTTGTGGAGCATGAATTGATTTACTCTGTCTGTACTCCGTAATTTTATAAGATGGGGAATTTGGTTTGATCTTGCAGATGGATGATGAAGGGAAGACATGGGACGAACGAGTTGGGTTGGATATGAGAATGCTGGACCTAGTTGGTACAAGTATGAGTGAGGAACTAATGTATGACTTGATTGTGATAAGCTGAGTAAGCGGAGGACAGTATTGGATTGTGTTGTGTTATATTGTGTTATTTACGAGGTTGTTCGGCTCAGTAGATGTTTTATCAATGATTGCAGAGTACGCTCAGTACTGTGGGTAGCATGTACGTAAGGCTTGAGGATGGACGACCAGTCCGGATTCACACTGTATCTCAACAACTACCTTTCCTCTCGTGATCTGGAATGTTCGGGACAACTTATCCAATGGCCACGCAATCAATTGTCGGAATACGGAGTAGGCCAAAGTTATAATGCGTGATATGTCATCCCATAACATCGCTGGGGCTATGGACGGGAATCAAGGAAACCCTGACATCCATCCAACTCGTCAGGTATTCTACGGGTACATACTTTGCTGCATAGCCTCAATGTGGCCCACCCCATCACCAAGAATTCAAGGGATTCCAAAAACTTATAAACCTCATATCTGTCAACCTTACATGTCTCCCACTGCCTGCGTATATATTAATTTCTCTTTCCATGTAAATGTCCCTCTCCCTCTTCTCTTGACTCCTTCCCTCCTCCTTCACACTTGCCATTTACTGTACTCTAGTATCACATCATACATATCAACATCATACATTATCAACATCAACTACTTCTTCTTACCCCGCAGAAACCATCCAGGTCATCCGTGTTATCCTTTGCCACGATATATATTGTGACAACGATTTATAAGTTAATTCCAATAAAAAGATTCCCAAGCTCTTCCTTGTAACACGCACATACCTAAAAAGAAAAACCAGCTGAACAACGCCTGAATTTCCAAATCTGACATTGGAAAGACCATGGCTGTGCTGGTGCAAGTGATTGCCAAGAGGCAAAGCAATGATTTTGATGACGAGAATGATAAGTGAGTCAATTTCCCTTCGTGTTTTCTTACCATCTTTTTCTTCTTCCCAACCTCCCACTTTTCTTTGTTGTTGGATGTGAAAGCCGTGAACGTCGGAAATAAGCTCGACGTCTCTACCTACCAAGAGCAACTTTTTGGGATTTCAGCCCCATTTCCATACATCGAGCGATACTTAAAAAGTTGCATAATCATATTCAACTCATTTTAATCATCCAATGATTGCTCGCGATACCATTCACGAAATCAACCAACTAACAAGATGGCCTACAGCTGCGATTACTATGGAAACTGCTATTCCACATGGGGCAGTTGGGGACGATGGGTTGTCCTGGTTCTCATAATTCTCGCCTTTGTTTTATTGGCTTTTGGATTATCGTATGTTTTGCTCCATCCCTATTAAAATACTTTACTGTACTGGCACCATCTTCCTTCGTCCAAAGGAAACTCAGCCATAAATTTCCGCATTTCAAATCACAACAAAGCACTAACACTACTCACTAGATGTCTCAACTCCCGTCGTCGCCGTCGTCAAGGCGTTCAACCAATGTATGGTACTGGCTGGATGGCTAAACCACCTCCATACGGCCACTACAATCAACCCGGAGCTTATAACTATGGGCCTCCTCCTCCAATGTACACCCAAAATGGACCAATACCACCTCAACAGACGGGTAATACGTTCAATAGTAATGATGGATACTACGGACATCATGGTCAACCTGTTCAACAAGAGGGAATTGAGTTGCAGCAGCCGCCACATGCTTATACCAGGGGTGGGGAGGATGTTTATCAGGCGCCAACGGGCCCACCACCTGGAAAGATGGCTGAGGGAGATGGTATTATTCGATAAATGCCCAAAACGGGTAGAATGAATGGGGATGGATGTTGGAAGTTGTTCGGGTAGATCCATGAACATGAAGGAGGGGCTTTGTTTTTGACTGTAGAGGTGATTGGTGGGAGGTGTCAGGTTACGACTATACCATATGATGCTGTTACAGCACAGGGCGAGTAGAAGGGTGTAGAATGATCGAAATGATTACGGATCGCAGGATTCGTGTCATGCCATTGACGTCACTTTGGGTCCGGGGCTAGGCAATCAACGTAGGAGTTAGGGAAGGGATTTGCCAACTTAGGCGTGGCCATACTATGAATGGTAATGATAAATGGATAATACAAACTAGGGTATGGGTGATGGGGAACTGAGCTGGTAGCTTTTTGTATCCAAATATATGGTTTGTCATCTGATTGCTGAAGGGAGAGATCTCCGTTACGCTAAGATTTTGCATCTATTACATATGCGCGGTCCGTTCATGTCGATACTTTCTATTTGCCAATATCCTAAGCATCATCTATCCAACATCGAGTATCATGGCATTCTAACCCAGACTCAAAACTATCATACAGATATAAATCAAAAGGCATCCCAAGGTATATTCTCATCTCTACTACTAATAACGACTATAATCTAAAAGCACCACGCAAAAGTCTTAGATTCACATATTGCCACTAGTCTCTCATCCCCTATCTTTAAACGAAAATCAGTGATTCTCCCCCCGCTCCCCCACCTTTTCCCCGTCTCAAATACCTTCTCATCTCTCATGCCATCGATATCATATTCTCTGAGACTTCATACTTCAGACTATACCCTGTCCAGTCAACCAATCTCCCCTTCAGATACCACAATCCTGGAGTTATTATTATTGCACATCTCAAGAAAGGGAGTAGCTTTCTATATTTCGATCCGTACTGAATCTGATCCTCAAACCTCTTTACATTCTAATATACAATTGTTATCTTCTACTAAGTATCAAAGTTTGCAAATTTGTTAGTTCTAATGAGCGTCTCAATATCTTCAGAAAATGAGAAAAACGTTCAGCACAGATTCGAGATCGCGAACTTCGGAATCTCCCAAATTGGATGCGCAATGTTTTGTTGATTTTTATACAGAATCAGACTTGAGCCCGATGTCAATGGGTAAAATGGAGTATGAATACACAATACTCATCGAATATGCATACAACAAAAGTTCACATTTTTAAGTCCCCTGTCAAATGTGCACATGAATTCTGAGGCAGTGACTACTTTATATGTCTTACTGTCGTCCAGGGATGAGCAAACCCCCACACCATCAAGAACTGACTGCATGAGAGAAATGGAATAAAAGTGAGTTAAATCCAGACAAAGTGAGGTGGATAGTGAACAATGTTTGCGGATGTTAAACATGCGTGCTGGTCGAGGGAATGCAAACTGTCGATGCATCAACGCTAAGTCACCCGACAAACTTTTCAAGTCGTTTCCATGATCTGGGAATGAGGTCATCTCAGTAGTGGCGAAGAGTGAGAGAGACGACATGAGACAATGGTAAAGAAGTATCAATGGGTTATCATCAAATATCTATCAGCAGTCACGGATACTTCTTACTCCACTGCAAATAAGTGGAGTCCATGACGATGAGATTCAAGAGTTTTGGCATTAGAACACAAGCGCTGTCAAGGAGTCCTGGAGATAGCGACCATGATACAAGCTATTGTAACCATTTGGTCGAAGTGCTCAGACCTTTTACAAAGGACGGCGGAAGTGTCTATGAAAGCCTTGAAGAAGCAGCAGCGAGACGAGAAGGAATAATGGGAGCAAAAAGGACAAAAAGGATTTGAACGAAGAGGATGCCGGCGATAACCCATACTTAATGACCTTTAGCAATACCTTGTCGTAGAATTATGATACTAGACAGCAACGAGTGTGACGAAGTGTGGAAATTAAACACAATAGGGCTGTGTCTTTTTGAGGGATCCACTGCATTGCAATATTAGAAAGTCACCAAGATATCGGAATCCCTCACCAATTAGTGATCCTACCCACGAATGGACACTGAATGGGTACTAGGGACTGTTGGCTTCACAATTAAGAAAAGAACATCAGAATGGCATAGAACGTTGTCAAGCCATCAGGTCCGAAGCTACGGAAATGCCACGATCTATTTGTGCATGGCGAGAGCATTGTCTAGTACTTGCACACCCAGCACAACAACTTGTTGTCCGATCCTTCCGCAGCCCTGCGGTTTCCAATATCACTATTTAGTTTAATTATGTTGTCAAGGCGGCCGGGGAGATTTTCATAACAAAGGCTTCCACACAAAAGTCATTAGTTCTATGTTAGATGATTACCTAGGTACTCGGTGAAAAGTTCTTTATTACTTACATGATGATTAAGGTGGGAGTCAATGCGGAGGAGGAATAAGCTACTCCCTCTGAAGAACATCTCGACATCTCGACATCTCGACATCTCGACATCTCGACATCTCGACATCTGCGCCACATTTTAATTCTAATTACCAGCCATTCCACAGGTCATCAGCCACACTCTATCATGCCGTAGCGCCAAGTTCAAATAAGGGCACTTAGGCCCCTGACATTAGTGTGGTGGAGCGCTGCAGGATACCCGGTGCCGGCTTGTCTCATTTCGGTTGTGATTGTGATATGAGAGGGAAAGTACTGTAGATGGGGAGGATCGTAACTAAGTATTTAATACATTGATCGATAGATATGTCTCTTCTCTAAAATGGAATAAGATGAAAATGGATATTCCACTCGTCACTCGTTCCCTTACACCCTCAAAAGGCTGAGACATACTACATAATTAAGTTCCATCAATGCATAAATCAATCCTGCCGTGATAGTTCCTGTCCTAGGCGCTTCAGATTAAGGAACTCTTTTGGTGGAACAGTGGAGTGATCTACCCCAAAATAGTCTGAGATAGCCATAGCCTCCCGGAATAAAAAGCTCGGACTTTTAATTTTAGTGATAGGAAATACAAAATACAGTACTAACCACTCACTAACCCACTCACTAACCACAAACTAACCACAAACTAACCTGAGGTAAACATCAACAACTTTATCTGCCCTTCTCTCTCTCTCTCTCTCTCTGTAACAAACCAAGACCTTAACCACTCTCGTTTCATCTATTATCGATGTTTGAATTTATGTGATCACTCTCCTTAATATTGTATGATTTTGTCTCGGAATAAAAATATTTCTGAGGAACTAAAATCCTTTCTTTGCTAACCTCTTGCAAATCTTTTCAATCTTTTAATTGCTTTGCGACAGAATACGGGAGTGAATACGAGAATACGAAAACGAGAAGACTGATTAACGACTCTTACCTTGTGAGACTCGCTGAAATGGGAGGACTGAATTGGAGCAATTGCGTTGAAAATTGAAACCTCAGTCAGAAGGCGAAATACTTAGGAGTATTCAAGAGCATTAGGACGCCAAGGCCAACAATTGACCCGGAGATTCAAACACTTTGCGAAGATACATACCTGGAAGTTGGATGGTGAGCCATCAAGTAGGCCGGTCAACTTGAGCATTTGCTTCGGGGAGAACGAAAGGACCAAAAATCATACAAATGAGAATCGAAAGAATAATTAGAACTACCATCAGCGACACAGGTTGTGCCATCTAGAGGAACCGTTCACTTGCAGTGTATCATTCAAGTTCTCAAAGTTTTTAAAATTGGCAACTCACTGTCAAGTCAAGTCAAATCAAATCAAATCAAATCAAATAAAATCAAATCATCAAGGTACTTTCCGACTCCTAAGCTCTGTCACGTACCGATATTATTCTTCACAATGCCACATATCACAACAGCAATGGAGTGGAGTAGGAGGAGGGGAATTGGAGAAATATTGGTGGCAAGTTTACTTCAAAAAAGGTCAATTACTGGAGATGCATCAAATGTGAAAAACTCTTTTAGTTCATGGTCAAATTGTATGGCAGCTACATACTGCAAGTTCGTCGCCCCTTCTCCTGTGCCACATTTTCGTATCATTCCTACATCAAATCCAAACTAACCTTGACCCTTCAGATGGCCTGTCATAGCAATAATCATCATCGTCGGCTTAACCGTTTTCTCCATCGCTTGGTGTATAATAAGATGTGCTTGCTGTGGCATGTCCTGTTGTTGCACCTGCTTCTCTTTCCTTAAATGTTGCGATTGTTGCGGTGGCTGTTGCGATGGTAAAAGGGACCGCCCTCACAAACACCTCGACGATTATCCTCCTCCAAATCCAAATCCGAATCCGAATCAAGGCTACCAAGCTCCGGCCCCAATGATGGGCGGCGCTCTTCCTGCTAGGCCGGAACCACCAAAATACGCACAATTCGAAGTAGGAAAAAATGGTCTCGCTGTCGATCCACCGAAGACAATCTCAGAAGATGCATTACCACCTATGCCGATATGGGAAAGTGCAAGTCAGAGGCATGTGAATGATGAGGAGAAAGATGAGATGGGTATGGAATTGACAGAATTGGATCCTGTTACGGGTCAGAATATGCCATCCATGGCTGGAGGTGTTGTCAGCAGTCATCCCAACAGCCCAGCAAATGGACAAGGGGAAAGCGCTTATGGAAGACAAGGTCAGGGTGTGAATAATGGTTTCATGAATTCTCAGGGCTTTTATAACCAAAGTCTGAACAACCGACCTGGAAATGGAAGAGGTTTTGCGCCAGGAGGATCACCAAATCCAGGGATGGTTACTGATCCGCTCATGGCTTATAGAGGGACACCACCTCCAATTGCTTCAAATAATCAACTGGATGGAATGGGATACAGAGTTACACCGGGTCCAGGATTAGCAACGGGGATTGGAGAAGCAGGTATGGGATATAGAGGAACGCCTCCACCAGGCAATCGAGGATACCGTGGTGCACCATCACCTGCCCCGGGAATTAATCTTGGCCCAGGGCAATACAGGGGCGGGCCATCTCCAGCGCCAAGCAGAGGATATGGCGAATCACCACGAAATGATGACTTTGAACCAGCTATGCCACAGGAGTTTCCTTTCAACAGCGGTTTCAATGATACACCTGTTTCCGGATATGCTCAAGTAGAACCAACGTATGACAATCGACCATACCCATCTCAACCATCACGTCAATTCTCAAATGATTCCTCGAGACCACTTGTCCCAGGGAGATCATATACCAACAACACCGACCAGTCATACCAGTCATACCAATCCTACCAATCAGACAATTCCTCCAATGTTGGTACATATCCTCCACCACTCATGCCTTCCAGGGGAACCGGACAAAACGGACCGAACAGAGTGACATCGCCGAGCCCGCAAAACGGAAATTATGGGGGACTGCAGCAAAGAGAATTTGACAATCGATCTCCCGTACAACAACAGCCTATGTTTGGACAAGGACAAGGACAAGATTATTACGACCACGGCGACCAGAGAAATATGACGAGGAGTCCTCAGCAGCAGGAGACGTCAGCCTATCCGGGATACAGACCTTATGTCCCTGAGCCGGAGACACCAGCTTACCCAGGATACAAACCCTACACGCCAGAACCGAGATATTGATGAATGGTTAGAATGATAAGTGGTTAGGGGAAAGTGATGTACAAATTAAGCGGTGGAATAGGATATTTGCGGAGTACACCAAACTCTAAATATTGTAAATTTCAAAGTCCCTCGACATGTAGAACTTCTACCCTACGCCGGCAGTGGTATAGAATGCCGTTCATGTCCCTTTTTCTTAACAAGTACCCCATAAGGAATTCTCCTCCGCTTCTTAGGCCTCGAGTTTAAGCTTGAATTGAATTTCAGGAAATTGGACTTTTTATACCTCCACGCAAAATTTAACTCTATCCCTCAAGGGGGTCCAATCAATGAGAGTTTATGTATCGATGGTTTAATATACTCCAGTACACAATCCTTTGTCAAGTTCCCTGGTATTTATGATCTACGATCTTTTAAGTACTACCATTGAACCTGTCAAACACAGACCATGAAAACGTTACTTCGGCGTCTCATAACGCGGGATCCGGCTCCGTACTCGTTGTTAGGATATAACATGGCAGATCAACTCTAATGGGGATATATATCATTTCACTCGTGCGATAATGATAAATCAACACTCTTCATGCGCACAACTACAATCCTTTCATGGCGAGCAATGCACGGAATAGGTTCTTGAAGGGGTCCTGGCTTTAAAAGTCCGATTCGAAATTCAGTATCCTCAAATTCTAGATTACTCAAATCTGATCTTGCCAGTACTCAAATGTAAAGATAAATTCCGATCGATATCCTGAATTGACGGCATACTTGATGCTTCATCTCAAAGTTCGACATTCCCTTCGTTCCTTTTTGGCCTATCCTTCTTCTGCAGAATCTCTTTATACCGCAAATTTGCCGTTTCGAACGATTTGCAATAGGCATATTTTCATTGTCCATAGTTTCAGCCCTTCATGTTGGGCAGTTTTGCGATGAGGTAGACGGGTTCCCAATGAATCGAAGGTCTAGTGAGGCTAGATCACATTGGTTCCAGGCTAGGGATATAATACTCTGGTTTTGCTTGGAGGTTACTGATAGCTTCCGGGCTTTACAGAATATTACAGGGTGAAGAAAATCTAGGAGTAACTTGATACTTGCTGGTTTTGGTTAAATTGCCCAGGCGGCATATTAAGCTCAATCTGGCAAGTACGATTGTGGGTGTACTATATAGTCAGGAATCGTAGCCCCAATAATAAGACATCCCTTTTCACATTATAGTATCCCTCACTGCCCTACTATCAATATCATAGGTTAGTTCTGGACGTTTGGATTAGATAAGTATCCGATCCATTGTTTGTTACATGTTTTTGTTTTGATTATATTAGATCTTCTTTCCTATTATTCTGACAAATCTATGCCTACTTGGTTGTATGGTTGAATTGAGCTCTTCAGGATTATGTCACTGACAAACATATAGATGCCGGCATATTAGTATCAGTAGGTCTTTCACACCGTTGTGTAACCTGCACGGTTCTTTATGTATGACTAGTAAAAAAGTACATTCCTCACCGCGACAAGCTCAACACTCTACAGGGACTCGCTGTCGCTTGTTAAGTAGGCTTTTCATGCTCGTGAAAAACACAATGACATGTGTGTGTTTATGATACTATAGCTAAATCCCTGCAGCAACTACAGCTTGGGCAGATGTCGATGACAAGCAATATATCTTTTGGGTAAGCGGTTTAGCGGAAATAGAGAAGTCTACCATCTTGCACTAATAGACCGCAGATACTATGATGATGAATACTTTGCAACGTACTTTTTCTTCTCGAAAGGCGACCCATTCGACTTCTACCTCCTTAATTAATCAACACTATATTTTCTGTTCCTAGCTTCTCACAACAGTGTCCAGGTATTAGGCGATCATACACTTATGATAAGATAAAATATGGTACATGTAAGTGACAGTACTAGTTTCAACAAAATAGCAGAAAGGTTTGCGGATTCCTGAGCATGCTGCCAATTTTTTTTTTCTTTTTCATTTTGATTTTTGGTAACACCAAAGAGAACAGCTACAAATACACAATACTATGATCACTCCACCACGAACTCTAATACAATGCTAAATAACTAAATTCCAAAATCCAAAATCCAAAATCCAAGTTTCCAAATTCCTTCTCAAGATTTCCAAGTTTCGAATGCAAAATTCCTAAACCTCCAAGCTAATCCCCTTGAAATCCAACCTGTTACTCGGCTACTCTGTTACTCTGTCACTCTAAACGACCAATCGCCTTCACTGATATTCCAGATCTGTGATCTTCTCTCTCGTAGCACCCCGGATTTGGATTGCTCTAGATCCCTTGGTGCTTCCCTTCCCAGATGATGATGGCCTTGAGTTTGTTCCTCCAGCATCAAAGGCAATTCTAGTCTCGCTGCTAACCACCTTACCCTTCTCAATTTTATCCCACTTGACAATGCTAGACCAAGGAATCCCTGCTTTGGAGCTAAACTCTTGCTCCTTGGGGATTGGATTTTTCTCGCTATTTGCTTTGCACCAGGCCGCAACATCGATGTACTGGCTAGGGCTGTGGCTGGTGTCAATGTAGTATACATAGCCATCCTTCTTCCTGCCGAAGTTACTAGCGACCTTGTAGCTTTTTGAGGTAGAGACATATCCGTCGTCGTCGTCGTGGCCTCCTTGGCAATGAACAATTAGGTCGAGGTTGGGATTCACGTTGTTGGTTGCTGCATAGGTCTGGAAACCGTTGACTTTTTTGAGATCCGCGGGACTGCGTGAGTCGCCTCGATAGACTGTTGCTGGAACAGTGGCTAAAGCACATAGGAAGAGGCTGAAAAGGGCGAAGAAAGAATGGAAAAGCATCTTGAACTGGTGTTTGTAGGTCGGTTAGTTGTAGGTGTGATTTGAAGCTGTTGTCTTGAGGTTTGGTTGGTTGGGTATGATTGTGATTTTGAATGTTAGATATCCAGGAAAACTGCGTTCTTGTATTCTCTTTTTCATCTCAGATTGCTCGAGAACATTAGGATCGTGTCGCAGCTATAAGCCTAGAATTTTTGTTGAAATTGAAGGATTGCAGTAGGAACGGTAGAAGGCCCCCAAGTTATGTAAAAACCTCTCAGATTACCAAAATACACGATGGGAAGCCTCCATACATTTTGAGGATCAAGCTCAGGAGCATCTTCTTCGAAAGGAATACTCAAGACATAATCCGTCTTGGTGCTGACCTTGTTGGTGGCTCAACCTCCCAGCGTAAGCAAAACACGGCGCTGGGAGGCTTCGACTCAACCCTAGTTTTCCAGTGCCTTTGGAGGCTGAGGTAGACAGGGCTCGAAGTGAAGGTGAGCAGGAGGTCGAAGATAGGAGTGGCCAGGAAGATTACTGGAGTCCATTATCTTGTTCAGTGTTCATGGAGTGAATTTTTGACTAACTTTCAGTCAGCTCACAGGACCACTAATTACATATATCTCATCTTACACTATATTTAACGTATGACTTCGGCAGGGATGATGAGAAGCATGAGACATGAAATATGAGGGCATTCATACTAACATATTTGAACTTAAAGTGGAAAGGATCTACAAAATGAAGAGCTCTACTGATCCCAATTCTACCTCCTTCGACCCAATTTCTCAATATGCGACAATATCAACATCCTGATATTGAGGTACTTTTATAAAAGGACTCAATTTTACCTAAGAATTTAGAGCCCAAGAAGGAAGAAATGAAGGGGAATAAAAGATCCGTGAGATATTTACACAGGAGTAGGATCACATACCATGTCTGGTACGTAGAGCAAATGACTAGTCGTCGCAGTTTTAATGATTGGATTTGTCGGAAGTATTACACAATAAATAACCTAGGTGATATGGATAATTGAAGCTTCCTCCTCTTCGATACTAATTAGTTGTGGTAAAAATCGCCGGTCGAGGCGGGGCGCGGGTTAAAGGAAGAGGAAGCTTACAGAACCCACTTGTATCTATCTCATAACATTTTGGTGGCTGTGTTAAAGTAAGCTCCAAAAGTTGATTGAGAAAGGCAATCAGTGATAGGGTAAAGAAATAAGGAAGCTTATGAATGCACTTGTTTCCATCTTCATATGTTTCAGTGCCAGTAATAAAGTAAGTTCCACAAATAAATTGAGAACGTTGAAGAGTAACTACAGCGACGGAGTTAAGAATTGTAGAGTTGTATCCTGCCTGCCAAACCTGCAGCATGAGTTTCAGAATTGGAGATATAGAACTATAGATAGAGCAAGTCAACTATTTGCATCTTAATCGAAGGTCTCTGGAAGAGATTCCTGATCTTGCATCACAAGAATTGAGCCCTTCATGGTGGTCAAGGCCATGACCATCTCTTGCCGAGCACCGAGACCCACATTACTCTTCACGATTTTGGAACCTACGAACTCTTTTTCTTCATTATTTCGTTATATATGAGAAGATATCCTTATTATATAATCTTCGTAGACTTTTTGATAGCTTTATCTGAACAGTACCTTCAAGTATTCATCTCATATACAATTAGGAACGGAAATTGAAAAGGAAATCTACTAACCGCTTATTTCACATCAGCCAGACCCCCAGTAGTTTCACCCCCCGGAAATAAATATGCGAGTAAGACTTATAATCCCCCCAACGGTAAGCTGTACAGCCACCAAATGTTCTTACCAGTTGTTTGGTTTGATTGAACTGGGGGAACGAATTTGGGAAATGTAAATAGATCTCCAGAAATAGAAATAATCGTGGGTTGCAACTCCAATACGTATAAATTACATAGTTCTCACACTATCCACATTTTTCCTTTCACTACCTACTCTCATCAACAAACCAGAGAATTCCAAACACCGGTTTACAACGTTCAACCAGATTCAGATCCAAACCATTTTACTTAGGTACTCAATTTCAAAGCAAATTCCATATTGAAGACTCATAGCTAATATGTGTTCCAAAGCAAATCACACACACCATGGAAGACCCTGCTACAGCATCGTGGGATGTGAATATCAGCGACGCTGATTTTGAAAAGCTCAAAGCAGGTTTCGAGGCTGCGGATATGAATCACCGATGGGAAATTGCTGCTAAGGATACGGATGAGAATGGTATCATACCGATTCACATCAGTCGAAGTTGGACCGAGGAGGATCAATACATACTTTCTGCAACGCCAATTGACGGTGGTGCGAAGATCATATCTATCACATGGGAACAGAACAGGGGCGAAGTTCGTATTGGGGAGGATTATGCCAAGAAAGAAGCAGTGATTGTTTGCAGAATGATGCTTCGTTGCGATTTTGATGCGCTTCCGTTCTATGACAAGAAAGCTCTGTGGCATCAGCTATATGCAGGAGGGGGCACAGAGTAGGGATTAATTAGGCCGGTATATCATTCTGCTCTATTATAGGTTCTTTGGGGCGGTAGTCCTTAGTCTTTTATTCACATCCCTAAGGTATTGATTTATCCTCTGTACTAAAATTCTATCCGATTATTCCTTCATGGTCTATAACCTTGATATAAATTATCATTTGAGAAACAATATCAAATATAACAAATAGTACAAGATGAGGATTATTTTTTATTGATAAAATAAATAAAATAATAAATCTAATACTTCATTTCCGGGTTAGTTTTAATTTAAGTTATTTTTTTATATTAAATATTATTATTTTTATTTAAGTTCTTTAATACTTTTGTCACGATTCACGGTTTAGATTATAGTAGTATTATTGATGTCAGTGATTTAGATGTTGATTATTGAGAGGGTGTGATTTAATTATTGTTTTCAAAGGGTTTAATCATTTATAAATAGGAACCTAGGATTTCTAAGATAAGTATTCTAAACAATTATATTAAAATAGAATAAGTGTTTTAATTAATCAATTGTAATAGAATAATTACTTTAAAAAATATCATATTCTAAAGTAAAAATTCTTAAAGGAAAACTTTTGGGATAAATATTCTAGAAAAGGAAAAATTCAAAATCGATCATATAATAAAGAGTTCTAGAAATTTGAAAAGTTTCTAAAGCTTCAAAAACTTTTGAAGTTTTGAACTTTACAAAGCTTTTTTTCATTTATTAATATATAATCAGAATAATTTTATAATTTAGAAACTTTATATTTAATTTAGTTATTAATTATTTTACTTATATTTTATTTGATCTAATAACGAATTCATTTTCAAATGAATAATCAATAATTAATAATCTTGATTTACAATTATCAATTATACAAACCTTAGATAATCATTGTTTTGATTAGATCACTACAATTTTATTAATTAATTATCGATTTATTGATATTATAATCTTATTATATATAAGGTTTACTCAATAGATGAAAGAAAATAAGAAACTTGTTTAAATGAATTACGATCCTAACAATTTAATTGTTTTAAATATCCTAATAAATACCTCAGTAAATAATTAAACAAAAAGTTTGATATAAACCTTACAATTTTAAATAAATTTGATTTAAAGTTTTTTTCAATTCTACTTAATTGAAATTATTTAATTTTATTAAAATCATTTAATTCAATTTACAATTTAATTGAAATCATTCAACTTTATTAAAATTATTTAATTTTATTGAAATTATTCAATTTGACTTTATAAAAATTATTTTATTTAATGAATTCAATTTTATTTATTTAATTTATCTTTAATTAATATTATAAGAATTTTTTTGATAATTATTATTAATAGTAATTATTTTTGATAAAAAGGTAATGATTATACAAAAAAAATATTTCTAATTATTACTTTTGAAAATTATAAAGATCCAAGATATTTTGATATTTAAATATATGATTTTATAAAAGATTTTAAAGAGAATTTAAATCTGAAATTAGAATTCAATTATCTTTAATATTGATAGAATAATACTACTTTAAAAAAATATATTAAAAAAATGAATAAAACTTAAACTTTTTCAAATGATTTCAATTCTATATTCATTATCTTTATCAAAAATAATATATTCAATGTTATTTTTTAAATTTATTAATAACTTTTGTAATATAAAAAATAAAATCTGAAAAATTTTATAATTTGAAATATCTTTTTAAAGAGATTTATTATATTAATAAAATAATAATATTTATTAAATTTATTTTAAAAGATTATATATATATATCAAAATAAATTTATTATAGTATTTAAATATAATAAATTATTAATTTTTATATATATTGATTTTTAAAATATAAATGAAATCCAAAGTTATTTTATAATTCAATTTTAGAAATAATAAAAAGAAAATAAATTTTTTTTAATTTGATTAGTAATTCTTTATATATAAGTTTTTAAAAGTTTTGTGTAATATTTTAAATTAAGATTTATTTCAATTATAAATAAAGTAATAAATAAATTTAACTTGTAAAATTTAATTTGATTTGAATTTTATTCTTTTGAGATTTGAATAATTGAAGGTTGATATAATTATAAAAATTATTGTAATTAAAATATTGATATAATATTTTAAAATCTCTTTTTGAAGTTTGATTCTTTTTCTTCTTCAAAATTTACTTTTATCTCGAATTATTTATATATTTGAAAACTCTTTTAAAATCATTCAAACTTTCAAAAACCTTCGAATTATTTTAAATTTTTTGAAAATTTCAATATTCAAAATAATTAAATATTAATTTCTTCTTTTTAACTTTATCGAAATTGATATTAATAAATTATTCAAAATTTATATAGAAACTAATAATTTTCAAATTAAAATAACTTTTCAAGAAATTAAAGAAGTTTTTTTTATTATTATTATTATTCAATATTTCAATTTGTTTTTTATAATATTTGCAAAGTTTGTATTCAAAATTTCAAAAATTATTTTCAATTCAATTACCAATTAGTATTATAAGGATTTTTTTGGTGATCATCATCGGTAATGATTATTTTTGATAAAGGGGTGATGATTATGCAAAAAAGTGAATATGATCATTATCTCAAAATCGATCAATTTAAGAGATATTTTGAAATTTAAAAGATGAAAATATAATAAAATTAATCAATGAATTTGAATATTCAATTAAAATTGAATTATTTGTATTATTTGTATAACAATACTGATTTTTCTAATAAATTATAATAGAAAATCATAAAGGAGCTAGAATCATTTTTTGATATAAAATAAATTTATAAGATAATAATGATTATATAAAATATTGACCAAAGAATAATAACTATACAAAATATCGATTATGAAGATAATAATCATACAAAATATTGATTAAAGAATAATGATTATACAAAATATCAATCACAAAAGTAATGATTTAACTAATATTATAAGGATTTTTTTGGTAATCATTACCAATAGTAATCATTTTTGACAAAAGGATAATAATTACACAAAAAAGTAAATATAATCACCACCCCGAAATCAATCAATTTAAAAGATATTTTAAAATTTAAAAAAGACAAAGATAAAAAAATTAATCAATAAATTGGAATATTTAATCAGAATTGAATTATTTGTATTAATTGTATAACGATATTGATTTTTCTAATAAATTATAATAGAAAATCATAAAGAAGCTAGAAGCATTTTTCGATATAAAATAAATTTACAAGATAATAATGACTATATAAAATATCAATCAGAATGATAATGATTATGTAAAATATCGATTTAAATAAGAATTATTGTATTATATGATAAGTATAATTATTATATTGGATTGAAAAAGAAATTATATTATATAATAAATATAATTATTATACTAACTAGTATTATAAAGATTTTTTTGATGATTATTATTGATGATGATCATTTTTGATAGAAAGATAATGATTATACAAAAAAATGAATATAATCACCATTCTGAAATCGATCAATTTAAAAAATATTTTGAAATTTAAAAGACAAAAATATAATAGAATTAATCAATAAATTCAAATATTGAATCAGAATTTAATTATCTTTATTATTTATATAACGATATTGATTTTTCTAATAGATTATAATAGAAAATTATAAAAAAGTTAGGATTATTTTTTGATATAAAATAAATTTACAAAGTAATAATGATTATACAAAATATTAACCGGAAGATAATAATTATACAAAATATTGATTAGAAAATAATGATTATATAAAATATCAATCTAAATAAGAATTATTGTATTATATAATAAATATAATTATTATATAAAGTAATTATTATATTAAATGATTATTATATTATATATATAATGATATAATTATGATATTAGAATAAAATAATAATAATAAAATAATAATTATAATAATAATTATAATAGTAATTGTAGTATTAATTAAGATTGTAATTGAGATTGTAATTGTAATTGTGATAATAATTATAATAATAATTTTAATAATGATTATAATAGTAATAATTATAATAATAATTGTATTAATAATTGTAATTATAATAATGATTAATTATTATAATATATATTTAAAAATATAATTATTATATTGGATGATTGTTATATCGGATTGAAAAAGATATTATATTATATAATAAGTATAATTATTGTATTAAACAATTGTTATAATTTATATAATTTGAATAAAAATTAATATAATATATATTTAATATAATTTTTATATTGAGCGATTGTTGTAATATATATTTAAAAATATAATTATTGTATTGGATGATTGTTGTAATGTATATTTAAAAATATAATTATTATATCAAATGATTATTAATAAATATTATAAGGATTTTTTTAATAATTATTATTAATAATAATTATTTTTTATCGAAAGATGATGATTATTTAAAAAAGTAAATATAATTATTATTTTGAAATCAATCAATTTAAAAGATATTTTAAAATTTAAAAAAAGAAAATATAATAGAATTAAATAATAAATTTAAATTATTTTTATTATTTATATAATAATATTGATTTTTTTAATAAATTTATAATAAAAAATTATAAAGAAATGAAGATTATTTTTGATATAAAATAAATTTACAAAATAATAATAATCATATAAAATTGTTATATTTTAAAATTTGGATTTTTATTAAACTTTTTATAATTAATATATAAAAGAAAGTTTTCTTTTATATAAAAATTATAAAAAGTTTAATATATATATATTATAAAAATAATAGATTGAAATATTTATATTTCAATAATATATTGTAAAAGAGAATTGAAAAAGAAATTTAATTAAATTATATATTTTTTTGTTAATAATGATTTTAATATATATTAATAATTAAAATTAAAGAATATATTGTAAAAGAAAAAGCAAAGTTCTTTTTTATATTTAATTATAAAGATTATATAATTGATTAATTAAAAACTTTTATATATTTGATTTATAATTTCAATTTTCTTATAATATTTATATTATTGAAATATAAAACTTAAAATAGTTTTTAGTATTAATATTTATATTTTTTTAAAATTTTTGAAAAATTTTGAATTTAATGATGTATTTTTTATTTGATTAATCTATATAATTTTTGGCTAATAATAGTTTTAGTATATAATAATAATTAAAGATTTTAATTATAAAAATAAAAGTTGTAGGTTTTAAATAACTTTTA